TCTGAAATACTATCTGCTATCTGTCTCTAGACAAGAATTCAGAAATAATTAATTGAAATTTCAATCTCAGAGCTCTCTTTTCTCAGAAACTGTAAATGAGAATTTCACTGATAGTAATTCAGATAATGATGTTTCTGATGAAGAAGCATTGCTATTCTCAGTATATTTATCACTTTTAATATCTTATTATTATAAAAACTAACATTGTCTAAAGACAGAGTCATATAACAAGAATGTCACTGATAATATTAAGTATATAGAGTGACTTTTGAAAGCAGATACTGAGAAGAATATCTCAGAGAATATTCTAAAAAATATCTCAGAAAATAATAATGAAGAAAATTCTGATAAGTCAGTCACTGAAGATATTACTATAAAAGATACTACTATTGAAAATATTACTACTGCTTCTCATTCTACTGATGAATTTATTAATTTTAATTCAGTAATTGATATAGCTTATAAATACAGTAACTTTGAAATGAATTTATTTATTTTAGCAATGAGACTCTGAGCTGAAGAGTTAGATATTTTCTGAAAAAACTATCAATTACTGCTACAAATTCTGTATTTATTAAAGAATATATTACTAATAAGTCTACTCTCTGAAAATCTATTAACTTTGAAAAAGTAATGCAGAGCACAATTTCTGATTTTATCAGTTAAGAAAATATCAATTTCAATAGTATTATTAATATAAATACTAACTCTGAGTTCTGCTCAGAAAAATCTCACTGTATTCTTTATAAAATCACTCTACTTTTAAAATTCAATTTCATTAATATCTGCTCTTCTCAAATTCTCAAATTTCTGATAATAGATGTATATAGAAATGACAGAACTTATTAATAATCTCACTAAGTTATAGTAATCTCACAGTTGAGAGAGCTCTATCAAATATTATTTCAGTAACTTTATATAATATTCATTAATAAATAAATCTCTTTTTTCTTCTGATTTTATTCAGTATTAGTGTGAAAATCTCAAATACTACTGTAAATTAAGATTGAATGATATATCTTATATTAAAAGAGTGCATTTTGTCAGATATATTCACTGATATTTAGATATAAGAATGAGATCTCATATAATAGTTCTAAAAGTTTAAGAAGTCATTCATTATACTTCTTAGATAGTATAAAAATTATCATTCTTAAATCTGTTATTTATCTCATTTGAATTAATCATAATAAAAGATGAGATAAAATATATCTCAATTATTCAGATTCTGAATTAACTTGATATTTATATAAATATAATATTTGAATCAGATTTCAATTTATTAGTGAAATATAAAAGTAAAGATCAGTATTTTCTTCACTGAGTTATAAGAATCAAGACTGAAGCTATTGAGATATAATTATATTATAAATCTTTATTAATTCAGACTGAGTTGAAAATTGCTGTATATAAATAAGATATTTTAAAAAGTATATTTTACTCTGATATACAAGTTATTTCTCTATCATATTAATTATTCATTGATGAATTTAATTTATATCAGAATATATACTAAAGCTTAATGAATTTTTATATAATTTCTACACTAAGTACTGTTAAGTATTTAAAGTGAAATAATATTTTTACTCTAATCTTTGATTCTTATAGTATTAATTTCTCTGATACTATTATTATATTATTGTATAACTTATCTATATTAAATTATAAGAGAATTATAATAAATATTAGTAAAGAAAAGATGAGAGTGATTGTATTTTATATAGTATTTTTTAAAGATATATCACAGTAAAATAGCAATACAGAGATCAAAGAATTAACTATAAGAAGATCTTACTAAAGCTGTTTTATTAATAATAAGAATCAGTTAAATTTAAACTATAATTTATATAATAATAGCTAATTTCATTATTATATATAGTATCTTTAGACTAAACTAGATGATCTGCTGAATCTTACATATAGAGATTAAATATGTCAAGAGCAGAGTATAACAGCACAGATAGTATCTCTTTTTTAAATATACTTAAGTTTGAATTTAATCTTATTTTTCTCTTCAGATTCATATTATAGTGAGTTTACTGAAATATTAGAGATTTTATACTTATTACTGATCTGTTCTATTCTGTTACTATATAATTAGTAAGAATACTTTTAAATATTATAGATATTTCTCTTTTCTCACAGTTAAAATTATTTACAGTTATTAATTACTCATTTTAAGAAATATCAGCTTTAAGAATATACTCAAGCTTTAATTATTATATCTCTTATCTTACAGTGTAAGCTCAGAGAGAGATAACTCAGTTCAGTAATTAAGTAGATTATTTCTACAGCATTTTCAGTATAAAGTTAAAATTAATTATCTATTAATCTTATTATTCAGATATATACAGTTATTATAAGAAATAATAATCTATTAATATCTCAATCTCTGAGAGAAAATGATTCTGAAGTAATCTATTAAATCATACTTATAACTCACTGATAGTTATAGTTTCTTATTAAAGCTGCAGTGAGAGTAATAGTAATATTTGAATTATTCTAAATTAATTCAGTTATTAGTTATCAATTATTCTCTACTTTAACTATAAGTATAGTTACTATATATATCAGCAGTGATAATTTTATTAAAAAAGCAAAGCTTATATAATATATAAAGAGTCAGCTGAATGTATATATTAACTTATATTATATTAAGCTGATTAAAGAATATACTGTATCTAATAATTATAATATTCTGATAGAAGAGAATAAGTATTAAAACTATAAAAATTTAGTGTAGTAAATAAATTATTAAGATATAAAAAAGATACTACTCTTATAGAAGAGTTTTCAGTAAATCTTATAATTAATATTAAGAGATTTCTTTAACAGCTCTGATATATATCTGATATAAAAAATTCAGAATTTATATATATATTATTCAGTACTTTTTAATAATTTACTAAGAATAAATAAAGAAGTTAAAGATAAGAATAATAATTTACTAAACTACTCTATTAAGTTAATATTAATAAAAGATTATATTACTCTGAAGATTTTTAATTATCTATTATTAAATAAAATATTAGAGAAAGTTAATATATAATTTATAAATCTCTTTAAGCTTGAATTATTTTATTTATTTCTTAATAATCTGTAAGAATTCTATAATACTGATTAAAATAAGTTCTCAGTTTTAAAACTAAATTACTATCTGATTCTTTTCTATAATAAGTTAATATTTTCAGTTCAGTATATCTCTTTAACTAATCAATTAATCAGTTATTAACTTATTAATATATAAATCAGAAAGTGCATTTACTGAATCTCTCTTATAAAGAAGAATATTCTTTAATATTAAAGAGCTAATTTTAATTAGATTATAACTATTTTTATTCATGAAATAAAGAGAATTAAGCAGATTTTCTTTATACTTATTTCTTTATATTATATTAGACAGAATTATCTGCTGAATCTACTGATTTTATAAGAGAATTTTAATAATTATACTATTATCAGGCTTTCAGCAGTTCAAAAGACAGTATTATATAATATTTTAATACTGAATACTGATGAAAATGATGATTATTTAGTATATAAATCTCAGACAATAAGATATTTATATTACACTTGAGATATCTTATTTCTTTAGATAGTAATTTAATTTATATAAAGTAGTTAACTAGTCTAAATAGTATATAAGTATTGATTTCACTGATAGAATAGTATATCATGACTCACAGTATCTCAGTAGTATCTTGATAATAGCATTCACTGATTATATAATGACTGAGTCATTCTCTGATGATGTCAAGAAGTTCTATGCTGTTTCAACACCATCTTGACATTTAATATTCAGTGATGTGTCACTGAATATAATGATGGAACATGTGTTACAATCAGCGACACGTGACACAGGTGGAATGGTGGATCCACGGTGTAATCACCGTAAATTAACCAACCCTACGTTCTTCCCGTATGGATCATGTTCTTGTAGATAGATCTATCAATACAACCTTCAACTATGCTACAATAACTACCATATGTAATATAAATGTAGCTAGCTCCTCCCACACGAATACAACAGATTAACCATCCCACAGTATGTTGGGGGTCCCGGGCTGATCGGCCCTTTCTACCAGCGCTGGTGGTGATTGAGCTCTTTTGCCCCAGTAGCGTACAGTGTAAGGACTGTTTCATAACGTAACGTAACAGGCATCACAATACCATAGTTTCCGCAAACCTCAGTCTCAACTCAACAGCCTCAACATCGCCAACCTCATCTTCAATCTTTGGGGCTTCATTCAAACTTCCTTTTCCACTTTCATCAATATCATCTTCTATCTCTTATTATCTTATCTCTTCTACTTACTCAGCCCTTTTTCCACTTCTAAATCCACTTTCCCTTGCCAGTCCAGTACTCCTCTCTCTGCTCTCTGCTCTCTATTTCTCTTGTGCCCCGCACATAATCCCCCCACCACCCTTACACAGCTCTTTAAGTTCGGGTTTTCAGCCATTCCACCATAGCCCGGGAGCTTAGAGCTAGCTACTTTCCTTGACCCCGCTGCGCTGCCCTCTCCTCTGCTGCCCACTACTGTCTGGTCTGTCCCTTATCTATTGCCCTCTCTTGGCGGACTGCGGACTGTGGACTGCGGACTCGGGCTATCATTCTACGTAACGGCCTTTGGTGTTACGGCCTATTTGTTGCCTTGCCACCTCATTCCTTGTCCAAATAACTCCCTTCCTCCAGGCCTCCAGACCTCGCAGTCCTTTCTATTACTCACCTTTTTTCCTTGTGATATTTCATCGTGCTTTTGTCACCTCATGCCCAGTGGTGACATACACCACTTAAGTCATGTAATTGGTCTCCGGCATCTTTGCCTCGAGCACACTTCTTAAGCTTTCTGAATTGGCTTCGCTGTTTATTTGTCCTCTTCCGCTTACCTCCCCTCAATCAAGGGAGTTGATCCAACCGTCGGGCGCTTTGTTTTCTCTCTACGCCTTCCTTACCGTGGATTGAGCCCTTTCCTGTTTTAATTGATCGTCTCCCTTCTGCCATGTCCCAAAACCCTTCGAATTCTACCTCTTCCGGCCCTTCCGCTCGGCCTCGGGGTCGTCGTGCCTCCGTTGCCTCTGCTGCATCCTTCTCAGAGCTTTTTGCAAGACCCGGCAACGCAGGCCTTCCACAACCACCGCCAACCGCTGCCGTAAATATTCCCGGCTCAATCATGTCATCTGCAAGTGCTCAGGCACAGCAACGCCGCCGCATGTCGATTACCACGCTAGGCCTCTCGGGGTCTCCAACTCAACAATCATCTCCCTTTGGAAGTGCCCCTGCGGGTATGCGTCGTGGGAGTATCTCGAGCTCCGTGATATCCGGTTCGCCTACACGGGAAGACTCTGTGCTAGAAGAGAACGGAAATGACACCCCGATAACCTCGCCTACATCCCCATTTCCCCGTCGTGTCTCGTTTGGAGCTCAGGCATTCCGCGATCGCGTTGGGAGTGCAAGTGCAAATGGTAGACACCCATCCGGAATTTCTGCGGTGGCAGAACAGCGAGCTCCGTCCACCGCCAGCAGCACATCCTCCACGGGCAGTGCTGGTATTTCGGTTGCTGCAAGTACGCATAAAACAATTCCCCAGAACAATAGATCTAACCCCTCTTCTTGGCGCCCTATAGGCGAAGGCTTTAATTGGCCAGAAGCCCTCCGGACACGCGCGGAGCGCGCTCCTTCGTTTGGAAGCTTCCCTCCGACGTCTCCCACTGCTGGTTCCCATGGATCGCCACCTTCGTCTACTCCACATTCCAAGCATCACCAGCGAGCAGCTTCCATTGCAGCAATGGAACAACCCATTCAAGATATTCGTGATACCCACAAGCGGCAACAGAAACAACAACAGCGAAAGCCAAGCCAATACCGATTACTTCCAGGAGAAGATACTTAGGGGTGACTTTATGGACTAAGGTCTGCTTTGCCTTCTTTCTATTTTATTTTTGTTTTATAATTTTTTATTATTTTTATTATACGAATACACCCTTCTCTATCTGTTGTGTTTTCTATAGCCACTTTTTTCGTTTGGCCCGCCAGACCCAGGAATGAAGCGAGTGAATGGAGACGAGAATCAGAGCGAAGGGGATAAACCCTTCTTTTGGGGAATGCTGCCACCCGTGTCGAGGTTCCTTACGCGACATGTCTTATTTCCTCAATTATCTCTTCTCCAGATAATAATAAAATAGCACTATTTGGACTGGTCAAAAACCCTAACGCCCCTTCACTGTTATCCAAGTCTGTCCTCAAAACCTTCCAAAAATCCATCACTAGCTATCCTCTATGACAATTCATCGCCTCGTCTTGATTTCTTGTCTCTAACTGCGTTGGCCAGTTCCAAGACTTAGTTAGGGCTGAGAGACCTGCCCGGTTTACTAGTACTATTGGCGTAAACATAAAATCCGGCAGGGCTGTCTCTCCAATTTTGCTATTGCATTTCTTTGGGGCGCATCGGTTTCTGTCGAGATTTATCTTCTTCTATGCGTTCCTCCCAACTCTTTTTTTTGTGGCTATCTATTTCACAAGGCGGGACTGAATTGTAGCTTTTGTCTGGACCGGATTTATGACGGCGCAGTGGTTGATTCTTACGTACCTTACTTATTTCTTCCCTCTTCGAAATGCATCTTCCGCTATCTCTAAGACTACGTTTTCGCCATTTCACTAGTTATATTTTCTATTTTGCCCTTTTTATTTCCTACGAAGAAATCAAATAAATATGAATGTATATATATATTACTACCTGTAGCTAGGTGTAGAACACGACATCAATCCACCTTGGTGTGGGGACATTCTATCCGATCACAGATGTATAGAACAGATTGGCCCAAACTTCATTGAAGTAAATGTACAAGGGAATCCCCATTTGATGAAGCGATGATTTTAGTCTATGATAATAGAAAGCAAAGGAGAACCGAACCCCTTGGAAGGAAAACGAGGGTTATTAAATTTGACTAGCTAGCTGAGGTACTTTCAAGAGAGGGAGAATAAAAAACGAAACAAACCAAAATATGCAGCAAGTGAAGTTGGACTTAGCCGCTTGTCAACGAAAGAAATAGGGCAGAGAGAAAACACGTTGATTGTGGGAATCGTCAGAAAAATCCCACGTTACTCGGAGAGAACAAAGTTTTAATAAGGGATATTGTTTGTCAGCATCTGGAACTGATCATAGCCTTTCGTCGACACGCTCATGTAGCTCTTCTTCACGAGTTCTCGCATGTGTTCGGCAGCCTCGCGCTCAGTCTTTTCAAGGACAAATCTGTCGCGGAAGTTTTTCAGCGTGTCAGGCTTAAAGCACGGCAGCCCGCTGTCAAGCATCAGCGTGACAATGTGTGATAGCTTGGTTGCAAACGGTCTGGAAGCAAGGAAGGCTTTAACGACAAGTGACTCGAACCAACGGTATGACTGCGAATTCATTGGGTTGTGACCACCAAGAGAAATCCCACCGCTATCGCCGCTCGTTGACGACGAACCACCCGAGCTGCTCTGCCCTCCCATTACGGCCACCATTTCAGAGGTGAGCTTGAAAGGCGCGCGCTCGAATCGAACACCACCTGGTGCTATGTCGAAACAAAAGCCGAAATCGATGTGGATGATATGGCCAGCGTCATCGATCATAATGTTTCCGTTATGGCGGTCTTTGAATTGGAGAAGGTAGGATATGACAGAGTAGGCAGCCATGCTCTTGACGAAGTTGCTTCTTGCCTCTTGGAAGCGGGTAGATTGTTCACCGCCATACTTGGAAACGAAGTAATCGTAGAGGCCATTGACGGCTTCGCGACCAAGCATGTCTCGTGAAATAGAGTTAGGGAGCACATCAATTACACCACAACCTGGTGCTGTGGCCGTGACGCGATATGGGTATACAAACACGTCCAAGCCAACACCCATGAAAATACTCCGGAAAGCTGCGATCATTTGCAGCGCCAGTACGTCCTGGCGGCAATCGTCGCCTACCTTAAAGATGGCTGACTGCCAGACCTCGTACGTTGATTGAGATTCTTGGGCATCAGCAGTCTGCAGCACCGAGTCATCAACACTTGCTTGGCGCTGTGAGGCATCTGCCTTAACCTCTAGCATCATAGGACCATTCCCATTGCCATTTTCCTCCACCTTTTTGGTCTTTCTAATCCGGAATGTCGCCATGAACGGAGCCTTTGCGTGACTCTGTAAGGGCTTTCCAGATTTTCGATCAATCCCGATCACTTCTCCGTCTGGATTACTTGGAAGATACACCCCAACTTCTAATTTGACCTGACGCAGTTCCTCCTCAATTTTCTGCTTCTTCTCTGGCTTGCTTCGTTTAATGTAAGGTCGTAGTTTTCCAGAGATGCCTGTGATTTCATTGAAGAAAGAGAATTCTCTCTCGTAGAAGGCACGATCTTCCTCGGAGAAGTGACCGATAAGCTTGTCAAGGAATTGGTCCAGGACAGGTTTGATAGGATCAGGCTGTGAAAGGTCGCGAAAGTTAGCTCAAGTTTGACTTTTGATTTCAGGACAGGGAGAAAACCAGAATGGGGAGAGTATCCATACAATCTGAGAATCTTCATCCTTGTAAGCATTCGCTTTCATGTTCCAGATAACCTGATGGGCAAAAAGCTGTGATAGCTGTGCAGTCTCGAAGATGTACCGCTCAACATAGCCTAAGGCATCATATCGCAGGGCTTGGACAAGCTGTGGGATGTAGGAAAAGCTCACCTCCACAGGATGGCTTTCCAGTGATCTCACGGCATACTGTAGGATAAATGGGTGGTTTCCATAAACTGGTAAGAAATATGTTGACGCTTCAATAGGGTTTACGGGAGCCCAGAAAAGAAGATACTTGAGTTGAAACGACACATCAGGAGGTAGCTCGGATCCAAGGAGTATATTCAGGCTATCGGGATCGCCAATGGCCTTCTCTGGAAAGTTGAGCAACAGCCAGCGCGCGTCGCTTCTAAGCTTTGGCGAGGGGAACCGGTTTGCGAGTTGTAGGGCTAATCCATGGTTTTCTGCCCATGCTAGCCTCATCAGGGACGAAATAATCTGCAAATCAGGGTTAGATAGAACTTGATTATGGAACATGGAAGGGACGGTTCATTGCAGCGGGCAGCAGACCTCGGGATCGACCTTATTCCCTGAGCTTGAAATATAATTCCGTCTCTCATGCTCCAATGGGAAAAGCCATACTCGTAGTCGGAATCGCTCGTTTTCAATAAGTAGCCGGACTAATTCTTGTTTGGCTTGGAGGGATTTCCTCGCGGCGGATGCCCCTGTGGCTATACGGGATGTGCTTTCAAGATGCGACTCAATATCCTGAAGAACCTTGTCTTCAGCCTTCATCTGTAGGCGGTTACCGCCTAGGGACCACCTTGAAAGGGGGAAAAAAGCAAATTAGCGACACATCCTAAATCAAATACTTGATTATTTATAGATAAATACCTACCTAGGCGGATGGCTGAACCAGCTCAAAGCAGCAGAAAGGATTTGATCCTTCAATTTCCATAAAGCAATTTTCGTTTGCGACGTACAATATCGGAGAACCTTTAAGCCAAACAAGACGATGTGGAAATGAATTTCACGCGCAAGTGGGTGGCCGGTGGTATTTTGTAGTTCAACCAAAGTGACTCCTACAAGACGACTAAATATGCGTTGGGTGTGGACACTACCAAGTCTAGTGGCATTAAAGTGGCTTTCGAAGAACTGAAGGATACGAAAGTGTGGCGATATGATATTCTGCGCTTTCCGCTGGCGTTTGAGGACTATGGATTTATCCGATGGAGAAAACTCCGTTTTGGTCATGAATGGGTCAACGAATCTAAATGAATTGAATAATGAGGTTAGTGAAGCAAAGGCGCATGAAGTTTTATTTTCACGTACTTGAAATTAGGGTTGAAGATCCCCAACTTCCTCTGAATGGTCCGCTCCCACGCTTGTGCAACTTCCGTCAGTATCCTTGACTCGGTTTGTGGATTCTCATGGATCGCGCCCAGCCATAAAGAAATGCCCATTTTGATCGACTCTCTTGTAAACATCTGGAATGGGATATTAACGAGGTGTGAGATGATAATGGTTTGCGATTCGCTAGCGCTACAGATCAGCGCAGTAGCTTTGCGAAGAAGATTCCGGCACTGCTCTAGCATGACGGGTTGGCCGTTAGATATTCGGGATTCCAACTCGACGAGCATTGACAGCGTGTCCTGAATGGTATCTAGGTGTGTCGAAGCGGTCGAATCGTCTCTAGAAATTTGGTTAAGGGGGAGTGCCCATCCCTGATAGTGTAAACTTGGTGCCTCGGAATAGCGATACTCCTGGCGGGTTGTATACTGAGCAATAAAATCGGAAGCCACGTTTACGATCGAATTTTCATTACCCTCGATGGAGCCTAAGGAGCCCGTTATTAGTATGTTCAGGGTGTTGTGGAGAATTCACACATTTAATTTACCTAATCTTTGATCACTGGATGGAATAGCAGAACCCATTTCCAAGGCGAATGAACGGCCGATAGAGATATGGCCATAGGCGCCGTCGTCCTCGTAATCCGAAAGGTAGGTTTGGAGCAAGCCCTTAACATCCAACGGCGCAATATTCATGACTGTCGATACCCATGTTTGTGCCAATCTATAAAAAGTGGTGAAAGTGAGCCTCCTAAAGTCGTAGTTATCTGATAACTCGACCTTAACGACGCCCCTCGTGGAGGTGAAAGTAGATTTCCACTCGAACTCGTCGAGTTCCTCGTCTAAGCACGATGACCACATGATAGTCAATAGATCCAAAAGGACAAAAAGAGATCGTTTTTGGCACAGAGAAGAGGGGCATTGATTGATTATTTTGCTGGCAGTGGCTGCAGCAACCTGCTGTATTTTTTCGATTCGATGGCAACAGGCCATAAGTGTGTCTGCCAGCTGCCCAGAAATATGCGCGGCTGAGAATTTTGCAGATCCAGATAGAGCTTTTTCAAGGTAGATTGACACAACTTTGTCTGCAATAGCGTTCATGCAACTGCCGACATCCGTACTGTTAAGGGCAGGGTCGAGGAAATAAGTTAGAACTTTGGTGCAGTCCCCAGATGCAGCCCGCAGGCTCTCAATCAGTAAAGTGGCGTTCAAAAAGACTGTTTTCGGATAGCTCAACCGCCTGATATCGTATTCCAGATGTGGAACCTCCAAGGCGAGGCTCTTTCGTTGATCTGCAGCGTGGTTCTGGGTTGCTCCTCGTCTCAGCACAGTGTTCAACTCAATATCGCTCTCCAGCAGCTCAGCGCGATTTTCCGCAACTAGCGGAGGGGAGTGAATTGCAAGGATGCGGAGTTCCTGGTAATATTGTCGAGTAACTTCTGAACGCAGCGAAATGCCATGGGCCGCAATATTAAACCACACATCACGAAGCAGGGAGGGTATATCATGCTCCCCCCCACCGACAAGAGCATCCCAGTTGGATTGACTTCTTGAAAATGGGATAGCAAGTGGTTTGATCAAAGGGACGATTTCTTCTGCAGATAACTCCACGACCTTCTGGCGGTCCTTCTCTCTGTCAGCCACATCGCCTTTATTAACAATACTTTCGAGGAGATAGACTAGATACACTCGATAATGGAATGATTGTCGATCCATATTTCCTGCTAGATGGTTTCTCGCCTTATGGACCTATAATGTGAAGTTAGGTTGCGTTTATCCACCTAAACCCGGGGTTTAGGCCGAGGGGAAGACCACGTACCGCATCAAGGATGAGGGCATTCCCTTGGACAAGGGCTTCGCTGTAAATACGGGAATAGAATTTGAGAAGCACTTGAAATTCTGCCTCGTCACTATGGAGGGCTAGCGCAGCGGTTTCTTCGATGATACAGGCGTTGACGACTGCGTTTATTTTCCCGATCTTCTGTAACAGCATCGACTGGGCCAATGCCACAATTTTACTATCGCCGCAGCTTGTAGAGATCGTGACTATTGCATGTACCACGTTTCGGTAGGTAATTGCTGTTTCGGCATCCTCATCGAACGTGAGAGATATGACACTACCGTTCGCAGTTTGAGGATACGGTGGAGCCAAGCCTCGAGTATGAGAACCTATCCCATTGGCAGTAGTTTGGTGTGATTTGTCTGTAGCTGGTGGGCCAGCACTAAGAACGTTCCCTAAGGTGTACAGCATACCAATGATGGTGTCCTGTGAGAGAAGACGAAGGGTATCAGCCAAGCAACGGGCGGCGGTTACTACGGTGGCGCCGCTTTGTCCGTTATGCACGATGAATTTGAGGAAACAGCGGGTTGTATTTAAAGTCATGGTAGAAAATAGCTTTGCTAAGATTGCTAGGGATTTGAGGGCCACTTCTGCGAGCTCCTGATCGGCCATTTGATCGGGATTGAGCAGCGTATCTTCTAGCCATGAAAGAAGAAGGTCAGGGTCGGCCGAGTCTTCATCCAGAATGACGCAATTGAGGAAGCTGACTATAGCAATTAATTTCACAGAGAATGCTAGCCGTTGCTGCCATGCCGAGCCGAGTTGTAGATAATCAGATCCATCCTCGAGTTGTTGCATCTGCTCGGCGATTATTTCTGCGAAGGGATTGACTAGGATGAGTTTGTCATCGCGGTCCTGTTCGGTTAGTGGAATGCCGTTCAGATACTGATCCAGGAGAGCGCTGTCGGAAATACTTCGACCATCAGCACCAGCAGGCGATGTTGAAGCCTTAATAAACCGCATAAAGCCCCGTTGTAGCAGCATTGCGCCAAGTGGGCGCCCTTCGGACGCATAGCGGCGAGCATATCGTCGCCAACCCAGCAAAATGTGATTGGAGGATTCAGAGCTACGGAGCATAGAAGAGACAGTCTCAACAGTGATCAAAAACTGCTCTGAAAGAATCAGCCGCAACCGATTGGCGACCTGGAGTCGTTCTGCCGGTGTCCAAAAGCTGGCATGAACAGAAGCGGCTTCTAAGAACCCCACAAGGGATAGCGTAATCGATGCCACATCCACGACAGCCTGCAAATCTCCCAGCTCCTTTTCGCCATTCGCGTGGTTCCGCAGAGCGGGGAGGGACTTTGCAGCATGGAGGCAATTTTCGAGGTAGGAGGTGAGACCCTGGAGGATATCGTCCCGGTGACGCGGAATTCGGGAGCCAAGCGATAACAGGGATAGAGTGAGATTACATGTCAAGGCTTCCCATGGAGACGGTTTGATGCTATAGAGGAACGGAGATGGGTAAAGTAGGAGGAGATGAGAATGGGGGAGATATCCAGCCAGTTGGGAGACCAATTTCGCGGCATGTTTAGGAGACGACAACTTGGAGGCCGCTCTACAAAGCGCCAAAAGGGCATCCAATTCCCGAATGGTCTTGTAATCAGTCAGGTTAGATAAGAGTTTTCGTAACATTATACACGTATATAGCCCAACAGAGGGGGAGGATAAAGCTAGCATACCAGGGGCGAAGGGGGAGTACTGCAGCCTTTAGAAACACCGTCGAGATATCCGCCTGAGATCAACTTAGGGCGATGGCAGGCCCTCCCCAGGCGATCAACGTCTGATACGATGCCGCCGTCACTCTCCGGGCAGCTCGTGGCCAAGTCCGCAAGCTTGTCGAAGGCAGCTCGCCTTAGACAGAAAGGTCGAGACAGAGACCTAAAAGTGGCCCAAAACAAAGTAAGCGGGTGATTTGGCATCCAAACCAAAAGGATCGGAAAGGGAAACATACATGCTCAAAGGACTACCTGCTGAAGAGCCCGCAGGAGATTAGAAACGGAGCGGAGGAAACATTGTTGGATTGTGGTTGTGGCGAAAAGAGAGGAGAAGTAACAATTAATTATTATTAGTTCTCCGCAAACAATGTACGGAGTAGTTAGTTAAAATAACTACATAACGGGGAACTACAAGTGTCAACATTACAAAACCTACGTTAAATATGAGAAGTATTTATTTACTCAACATGTGCTCTCGGTTTGTCGAATGAAATATATATGGCTAAAGGTTATTAATTTGTTGCAAGCTGTTTGAGAAACCATTATATTATTCCAAGGGCCGCACTTCGCTGTAAATAACTACTTTATTTTATTTTTTGATCCTCAGGAACCGAACACAAGCCACCAGTCCTCCTTCAGCCATTAGATATAATAGTATTTAGTAGTTACGCCTACCAAGGCTGACCTTGCAGCTTGCCCAACCAACTAAACTTATTTAAATAACGAACTATTTAAGTCTAAGTTAGTTATTGTGGCGGACATATTACTTGCGAAAACAGAATTTTCCCAGCCCCCCCTGAAAATTAGTAGCAAAACACCACCAAAAAATCAAAATATCCGCGTTTCTCTAGAATCATTCAATATCATCCAATACACATCTTTTTCAATCAAATATCATCCAAATACACGTCTTTCTTACCTTTATCATCAATATGCCACCTCAACTCTGTGATTTCATTATCAACAAGATTGTACACCTTAAGAATGATTATATGTCTGCTGAGATCGCGCGAAGCATTGATTATCATCTGTGTATATTGAATTCAATGAAATCTTCACTGTTTTGAAACTGCTAGAGAACTCTGTTCAACATGTGATATAAAGTCAAAGATTATATCAGATATCTCTTCAATTCTGAAGAGATTTGATGAAGATTTTGAAGCTTTTTTATATTATACAGTTGAGAACTTCATAAGAGAAAAAGATATAAAAGAATATTTCAGATCTACTTATATAGAATAGTATTATAATAATTAGAAAGATTCAGATTACAATTCATTATAATATAAATTTAGAAGTGAAAGTAGTATGAGATCTGTTCTCATCACTATAAATAGTGAATAAAGATGATTTGAATTTCTGCAATTTTGTCTGTTATAATGGACTTTTTAATTCATCTCTTATAATTTGAAATATACTCTTGTCAATATTCATATGAAGCAACTGTTCCCTTGTCAATCAATTGAAGCATTCATCAAATTGAGGTATTGAACTGCTTTGAATTGGAGATGAAACAGTGGATTCAATGGAAGATTCAACAGCGGATTCAATGGAAGATTTCAACAGTGTATTTGATGGAAGATTCAACAGTGGATTTGATGGAAGATTCAATGATGGATTCAATGGAAGATTCAACGATGGATTTGATGGAAGATTTCAACGGTGGATTTGATGGAAGATTTCAACAGTGTATTCAATGGAAGATTTCAACGGCGGATTTGATGGAAGATTTCAACAGTGTATTCAATGGAAGATTTCAACAGTGTATTCGATGGAAGATTCAATGATGGATTCGATGGAAGATTTCAACGGTGGATTCGATGGAAGATTCAACGGTGGATTCGATGGAAGATTTCAACAGTGTATTCGATGGAAGATTTCAACGGCGGATTCGATGGAAGATTCAACAGTGTATTCGATGGAAGATTCAACGGTGGATTCGATGGAAGATTTCAACAGTGTATTCGATGGAAGATTCAACGGCGGATTCGATGGAAGATTTCAACGGCGGATTTGATGGAAGATTTCAACAGTGTATTCGATGGAAGATTCAACGATGGATTCGATGGAAGATTCAACGATGGATTCGATGGAAGATTTCAACGGTGGATTTGATGGAAGATTTCAACAGTGTATTCGATGGAAGATTTCAACGGCGGATTTGATGGAAGATTTCAACAGTGTATTCGATGGAAGATTCAATGATGGATTCGATGGAAGATTTCAACGGTGGATTCGATGGAAGATTTCAACAGTGTATTCGATGGAAGATTCAACGATGGATTCGATGGAAGATTCAACGATGGATTCGATGGAAGATTTCAACGGTGGATTTGATGGAAGATTTCAACGGCGGATTTGATGGAAGATTTCAACAGTGTATTCGATGGAAGATTCAATGATGGATTCGATGGAAGATTTCAACGGTGGATTCGATGGAAGATTTCAACAGTGTATTCGATGGAAGATTTCAACGGCGGATTCGATGGAAGATTCAACAGTGTATTCGATGGAAGATTCAACGGTGGATTCGATGGAAGATTCAACGGTGGATTCGATGGAAGATTTCAACAGTGTATTTGATGGAAGATTCAACAGCGGATTCGATGGAAGATTTCAACAGCAGATTTGATGGAAGATTTCAACAGTGTATTCGATGGAAGATTCAACGATGGATTCGATGGAAGATTTCAACGGTGGATTCAATGGAAGATTTCAACAGTGTATTCAATGGAAGATTTCAATGATGGATTTGATGGAAGATTCAACAGCAGATCTGGATGTGAATGATAATGAGATTGTGAATTCAGTTCTTCTATTCCTTTCATCATATATTTCATCATCATCACATTGATTATCTCACTTGAGAATGTCATATTGAATGAAGTTGAAGCTGTCAGAGCTGAAGAAGAGAATATAATCACTGACATTTGAGAGATCTGTATAGAAGAATTGATTGTAGAAATTATAGATTCATTCTTCTAATTCTTCTTCTTCTTTCTACTTATTAATCATTTTATCATCTCTCTTGTTCTTTATCTCATTGATAATCACCCATTCATACAATCTGTATGAGATATCAGACTCAGGTGTAGAGATTTGTGAATATCAAGAATCCTCAGACTGAGTCTCTATATCCTTCTCATTCATCTGCTCCTTCATCTCATCATTGACTGAATCCTCTTCATTATCCAGAACTTCTGGAACAGGTAGTTTGAGAAGACTGAGGTGCAGGGTAGGAGTCTTTGTACAGGCTTGTGAAGCAGCAGGACAGCAGGTGTTGTGAGGCATATTGAAAAAAGAGTTGATTGATATATGTGAATTTGATGATAAAGATAAGAAAGACGCGTATTTGGATGATATTTGATTGAAAAAGACGTGTATTGAATGATATTGAATGATTCTAGAGAAATGCAGATATTTTGATTTTTTGGTGGTGTTTTGCTACTAATTTTCAGAGGGGGCTGGGAAAATTCTGTTTTCACAAGTAATATGTCCGCCACAATAGTTACCAGCGAACTCATATTATTATTATTATTATTTATTATTCCTCCAGCCTCCGCTGCCTCCACTTCACGCCGCCTGAACTGAACTCGAGAGGTCCTTGGGGTGACGCAGAGTCTCTAGAGATCTCAAACAATCCATATATAACTTCCCCAGCTCAGGCTCAACCTACAGACTCGTCGCTGTCGTCTGTTTTCCTCCACGGGATTGTTTTGTTTTATTTTGTTTTCATTTCCCTTTTTTGCATCGCGCTCCATCCACCACGGATATGGCCCCAGCGAAGGAGAAAAGTCATTTAAAACGAGGGAGGGTGAGATATTTATACATGTGGACTCAATCTATCTTTCTAAGCCTTTTTTGTTTTTCAAGTTTTTCTTTTTTATTTTTTTTTTTTTTTTTTTCAACTAATCGTTGCGTTGCTGCATTTTCATTCTAGCCCAGCGCGGGAAACCAAGCTCCTCAAGAGACCAAAAAACCCCGACGCTCGGAGCGGATATCGTCCCAATCCCAGGCAGCTCACCAAAAAAATGTGTATCTGCCCTCTCCGCTCACCCATCAAGAGTCCACTGCCACCGAGCTACAGAAAGAAACGACGGTGACCCCGTCAGAGGGCTATCCCGGCCAATTCCGTCATTACACTCCCGCCGCTGAGCTGCCCTTCTCATCCCCCCCAGGAGATACTCAAGCTCTCTCCCAGTTTGTTTTTCCCCCAAGAGCCCTTGCGGATGAAGTGGACGATGAGGCCGCCGAAGGTGTCTGGGGCTATCTTATTCCTCTCGATGACAAGTTCGGAGACCCATTGGTCTTGAAAAAGAGAGACACTTGTTCTTCGCCCGCCGTGGGTACCACAAATCGCAGGAAGGGATCTTCGAGATCTAAACGAGGAAAAGTCAAATTAGAAAACCTTGCTTCCCAAGATCATACCGGAGGCTATCTCATCGGGCGCCATTCAGAATGCGGTATGTTATTGCCAATTAGGCCGGTGGTCGCTCCGCCCTCAGGAATAATCGCGATACGGCGACACTTTGCTGACTGATATTATGATTCCTTGTAGATTTTGTCCTTGATATACCGACTATATCCAATCGACATTGTTTAATATATAACGAAAACAAACGAGGTGATTCCGTTGCTATTCTGGAAGACTTGTCTAGCAACGGGACATTTATAAACGAGGCAATTATCGGGCGCAATAAGCGCCGCGAACTAGAAGACGGAGACGAAATAACTGTGCTGGATGAAGCTCGTTTTGTCTTTCGCTATCCTAAAATAAGAGACACTAACAAATTCCGACAGCAATATCGCATCCTGCAGCAGCTAGGAAAAGGCCATTTTGCCTCTGTATATCTGTGCGTGGAGAGGTCGACCGGTGACAAATATGCAGTGAAGCGATTCGAGAGGCGCCCGGGAGACTCACAGCGAGCCGACAATGATGGCTTAAAACAAGAAATTGCCGTGCTAATGAGCGTTAATCACCCCAACGTGCTCTGTCTGAAGGACACCTTCGATGAGAGTGATGGTGTCTACTTGGTCCTTGAACTTGCCCCCGAGGGCGAGTTGTTCAATTGGATTGTTGCGAATCAAAAGCTTACGGAAAGTGAAGCTCGACATGTTTTCACTCAACTGTTTAAGGGACTTAAGTATCTTGTATGATGGATTGAAATCCTACCCTCATCATCCTTCATAGCAAAATCCTCCTCCTGACTTCTCTTATCTAGCATGAACGGAATATTGTCCACCGGGACATCAAGCCCGAGAATATCCTTTTGGTGGATGACCGCCTTACCGTGAAACTCGCCGATTTTGGTCTTGCTAAAATAATAGGGGAGGACTCGTTCACGACAACTTTGTAGGTTATATTCCGGTTTTCACAGGGAGACTACTTTCTAATAAAGAAACTGTCAATCTGAATGCTAACGATGCTCTTGGGCAGATGCGGAACACCCAGCTGTGAGTTTTGATTTATTATGGCCCCATCAAGCTTTATTAACTCTGTTAAAAACTGCAACTAACCTTAAACAGACGTAGCTCCTGAAATTCTCGAAGAAAACCCCCGGCATCGCAAATACAGCCGAGCAGTGGACATCTGGTCTCTCGGAGTGGTCCTATACATCTGCCTGTGCGGCTTCCCGCCATTCTCCGACGAACTCTACACGCGCGAAAATCCCTACACACTAGCTGACCAAATCAAACTGGGCCGCTTCGACTATCCAGCTCCCTACTGGGACTCCGTCGGGGACCCCGCGCTCGATCTCATCGACAGAATGCTGACCGTCGACTTCGACAAGCGCATCACTATTGACGAATGCCTGGAGCATCCCTGGCTGACGGGGCGGGGCAAGTACCCCAGCATCAATGACAGCACAGACGGCTTAACTGGCGCGATGGGCCTGCTTGATTTCTCGAAACGTAAGATGGCGCGTGAACGCACTCTGATAAGTAGCATCAATGATCTGCCATCTAGCCAGGTTATCGCAGATCCAGCAACTGGTGGGCATGGACATAGGCAGGTGAGAGTGTTCGACAGGAACGAAGCTAGCAGACGAATGCACAACCATGCGCCGAGGGGGGGTGGCGGTGGTGGTGGGGAGCGAGTACGGCAGGAACCCGCACCTGCGGCAAATCGGGATCCGGCTAACTTCATGAATTTGGGTGGTCGCGGGGATCCGATTTTATACAGCGATGATCAGGATGAGAGGTATACACGGGGAAGACGAAGGTGAAGGGAACACTCTTTCTCTTTGTCTTTTCTCCTTTTTTTCCATCTTTTGCATTTCCTTATTATTTCCTTATTTCCTTTACCCCTACCGCCCCCCCCCCCCTTTTTTTTTTTTTTTCTTTTTTTTCCTTGTCTAGTCTGAGTGGGAAATGTGTAGTCTGTCCTACTTTTATCTTCGGCAGTTACCTATAGATAGATACATTTCGGACAAATTTTGTTTCTGGGCTTGGATCAGGCAGAAGACCTATATAACTAGTGGTTATCTTAATATACCAATGAATATACAAATCAGTGCTGGCTGTGTATGTTTGGTTTTGTTCTTTGAGCGTTGGGCTGCTACTCTTTGATAGGTATACTGTTGGATAAATATTTATTATTAATATCAATGTTATACTGATATTGGTTCGGATTTATATTATTTGTTATCCCCTTCGTAAATACGAAGTACCCTTGAGGCTGACGCTTCTGCCGCGATAATAATTGCCGGGACCAGCGTATCCCAGATCAGCCCATTATTCTTCATCTTCTTAGCTTCTACGCTGAATACGGCAACAAAGGAAAAGCCTGGGCAGGGGAGGCAACGGCACAAAGACGGTGCCTGGTATTGCTGAGTACCGTCACGGAGCAGGTACTGTTCATGACGTGTTGGCAACGCCAGGATCCGTAGTGGTAGGCATATATTCATGGTACTCCAGCCCGTAAATACAGGTATTGCGCTTGTGCACATGTCGTGCTGACTCAGCCGAGCCTGCATTCTATTCTATCTTTTTGATAACGAAAGAATGCCCCGTCTGGGCTTCATCTTCCCCTGAACAACTAACTCTCCCTCAAAGTGCTGTCGACATCCCCACAACCCTCCGTAGTCGGTCGACTCCTTCGTTCCGCCAAAGTCACCATGGGGCTCCTTGCGGATGCTATTGTCCGCATCTGCGCTCATTGCTCTGCCGCGTCTCTCTGGGTGATTCTGCTCTCCGGTTTCGCAACTTTTATTGCCCTTTCTGTGGTAATAAACGTTATCCGCCAACTTCTCTTCAAAAATCCCAATGAACCTCCCGTTGTGTTCCACTGGTTCCCCATCATTGGAAGCACCATCTCCTATGGAATTGACCCGTATAAGTTCTTCCTAAGCTGCAAGGAAAAGGTGACCCTTCCACCCGCGCCACCCCCGTGGAACCCCCGAGAGCAACACTTGCCTTGGAATATGAATTCATGGCTCTAACATTTTGCTTCGATGTCTAACTATATTCTTTTGTAATAGTATGGCGATATCTTCACATTTGTTCTCCTTGGCAAAAAGACTACCGTGTTTCTTGGAACGAAAGGCAATGATTTCATCTTGAACGGCAAACTCAAGGACGTTTGCGCCGAAGAGGTCTACTCACCACTCACCACACCCGTTTTCGGTAGACATGTCGTCTACGATTGCCCAAATGCAAAGCTGATGGAGCAGAAGAAGGTAATTATTGCGACAATATCACTGGTTTATGAACACTCTACTGACTATATATTCGATTAGTTCGTCAAATATGGGTTAACCTCGGAGTCATTACGGTCCTATGTTACTTTAATCACAGACGAATTCAACCATTACTTGGAGACGTCATCTGCACTTAAGGGCGAAAAGGGAGTTCTTGATGTTTGCAAGAGTATTGCCGAGATTACCATCTTTACTGCTTCCCGGTCCTTGCAAGGGAAAGAAGTGAGAAGTAAATTCGACTCCAGTTTCGCCCAGCTCTATCATGATTTGGATATGGGGTTTACCGCGATCAACTTCATGCTCCCGTGGGCACCACTACCTCATAACCGTAAGCGGGATGCTGCTCAGCAAAAGATGGCAAAGGTCTATACAGATATCATCCGCCAGCGACGGGAAGCCGGTTGCCAGAAAGACTCAGAAGACATGGTCTGGAATTTGATGTCCTGTGTCTACAAGGATGGAACCCCACTCCCAGATATCGAGATTGCCCATATGATGATTGCCTTGTTAATGGCGGGCCAGCACTCATCCGCCTCCACTCTATCATGGATCGTTCTCCGACTCGCGTCTTGCCCAAAGATTGTTGAGGAACTATATGAGGAGCAGAAAGAGGTTCTTGGGGAGGATCTCCCACCTGTAACCTACGAAACACTTCAGAAACTCACCCTCAACTCACACGTTATCAGAGAGACCCTTCGCCTTCATGCCCCGATTCACTCCATCCTCCGCGCCGTCAAGTCCCCAATGCCCGTTGATGGAACACGATATACAATCCCGACCACTCACAACCTCCTCGCAGCTCCCGGAGTAACGTCAAGATTACCCGAGTATTTCCCAGATCCCATGACCTGGGATCCTCATCGCTGGGAGACCTCCACAATGGAAAAGGAGGAGGATCAAAACGAGGAGAAGCTGGATTATGGATACGGTTTGATTAGCAAAGGTGCCAACAGTCCTTACTTACCTTTTGGCTCCGGACGACATCGGTGCATCGGTGAACAATTCGCATATGTACAGTTGGGAACTCTGCTCGTTGCGATCGTCAGACATCTGAAATTGAGCAAAGTCGAAAACGAGACCGGTGTGCCAGAAACAGATTATTCGGTAAGCAAACCACGATGCCCTGTTTCTAGCTAATTGTCAACAACACCCCGCCCCCCTTTTTTTGGATATAGATAGCGATGCTAACATATGTGACTAGTCACTTTTTTCGAAACCTCTAGGAAGACCGCTTGTCGCATGGGAGAAGAGAAATCCCACCAAGAAATAAAATCACCCACTTCATGTTTCTTACCCTAGGTTTCGTTCATATCGGATTTTTGTGTTAAACTTGCCTTTTTTTTTACCTCTCTTTTATGCCATTCATCCCCTTCTTTTCTCGCCCTTTCTCCACTTAGACGAGTATATTATATTATTATTTCCTCATTGTAAAGGTTCAAGCAGGCTCCACAGGTAACATTTTCGTTAGTCTATATATTTGCATCTAACATACATAATAGTACATCTAATAATTAATTTTGCGATTGTTTTGATGTTTGATTTTGTTGATTGCTCTTTTCCTTTTTCCTTTTCCTTTTTTTTTCTATTTTTTTTTTTTTTTTTTTTTTTTTTTTTTTTTTTTTTTTTTTTTTTTTTTTTTTTTTTTTTTTTTTGAAAATGGCTTTCCCCATTGCGTAGTTTCGTTCTCTTCCTTCATATTGCGTCTCCAAGCTCCAAGGGTCCCGTACTATACAAAGAAAGGAAAATTGTAGATAAATGCCAACCGTAAACACAAGATCTAGCAGGGTTTAAATATAGCATCAAGCAAAGGAACAGAATGACTTAATATACATATTCACTCTTGAAAACAGCCCAAGTGCGGGAGAGAAAAGAAAAGTGAAATAAACACAGAAACTCAGTTTATGCTGAGACTTTTTTCCTCTCCTCGCTCCGCTTCTTCGCCCTAACCTCCGCCTGCCTTCTTTCTCCTCCATCGATCTTCTTCCCCTGCTTATCCTCCCACATGCCCTCCTGCACCTGTATGACTCCCGCCATTCCATTTGTTCCCTTGACCAATTTAATGTATGGCGCCTTTAGCACTGGGCCACGCCCTAGCGTGACTTTCATATATTTCTTGGGCGGCTGTGGTATTTCTTTCGGTTGCGACTCGCCCGGTGGGAGGTTCACTACCGCCCATTTCATGCCAGGGGATAGAGTTGCGGTGCCTGTGGCTGTGACGGGGGGGATTTCATGCTCACGCTGACCACCAGCTGTTGTTGTAGGTGTTTCACACTGCCCCTCTGCCCTCGCCACGACTTGGTTATTTGGTATCTCAACAACCCTCAGTTGACCCACGCCATCAACTACGTGCTCTAAATCGCCGCCAACCCCGTACTCGCCGCGTTGAAACTTTTGGCGCCAGCGGAGCAGATATCGGCGAAGACGTGGCGGCTCAATGCCTCGTGCCTTCAATTCTACGGAGGAGAGAGTAAATAGCTCGTCCCAGGAGGTGAATTTGGAGGCGAAGCGGGACATGTTGCGGCCGATTAGGGAGAGGAAGGTTTCCGCGTCTGGGACGAAGGGGGTTGGTGGGGGAACAGGGGGGTGTGAGCTTTTATGCAGTTGGTGGAGGAATTGGTGCGATAGGGGGTAGAAATGGGAATACGAGGAGGGACCTGTTAGGAACCGGGAAGCGAAGGGTCTCCGTGGGATGGTTCGGGCCGCCATGGTGAATTGGTCGCAATGTCGCTGAGCGGAAGAGTGATCGATAGACAAGCTCGTCGGGATGGGCAGCGGTATAGATGAGGTTCCGTGAGGCCGCTCAATTAGGGTTGTTATACGTCATTTATAAGAGGCACGGTCTGCTAAAGACGATCGAATTGCTGTGTGGGTGGTTTTCTTCGAGGAATAGCTGCAGGCGAGCGAGCGATGCGTGGCGATACCGAGTCTATTCCATCAAGATTTGAGCCAATGTTCAAATATCATCGGTGATTTTGGTTCTGGCGGTTAAGAAATTTGGAGAGCCGACGGGCACCGGAACAATGATGATCCGGGTGGTTTATTTGTGTTCAATCTGCAATCCCGTCTCTGGGTTTCGAACAGCTTCAACAATTTTGAGATAACTACAATCATACTGGAACGACTTGAACAACCGCTAAAGACTCGGTTTTCTAGTCGCGTTCATGGAGTGAAGAAGTGCCCCGCGATTACTAGTGATTGATTCTAAGCTCTTATCCGGGCTTCCCTTGTTTCCGTTATTCAGTTCCTTCCAACAACCCGCCAACCTTCCACCCCAACCTCACCTGCAATGGGGGTATCGCCTGTAATTACATGCTCACCCTCCGGAGTACATTCAGCTACAGGTGGACCAGATACTAATGCCAAAATACTTGCCATGCGCAGCTCTGGGCGCGCGGAACATCCAGCGTCACAACCAGCGTCACAACCAGCCTCCGCTGCTGAAGCCGGGGGCTATCTCGCCGCGGTACCAGAGGCAGCCGAGCAATTAAATGTAGCTATAAGCCGTAAATACGTTAAGGGTTTGTTAGCCTATTTCTTTTCTTTTCTTTTTGTTTCTTTTCTTGTTTCCTGTTCAATTCTTCCCTTCAACTTTCACACACAAGACCCTCATTCCCTTGGCAGACCTCGAACTTACTCGCGTCCGGCACAGATAAAAAGCTTGGAGAAGGCACATATGCCATCGTTTATCTCGGACATCTCCGACATGATCCCACCTCACTTGTTGCCATCAAGAAAATAAAAGTCAACACAGAATACAAAGACGGGCTTTCCATGGACGCTATTCGAGAGGTGAAATATCTCCAGGAACTCTCGCACCCCAATATCATTGCGCTTCACGACGTTTTCTCTTCTAAGGACCAGAATCTCAATCTCGTCCTCGAATTCCTCCCGCTAGGAGATCTAGAAATGCTTATCAAAGATAGAAATATCCAGTATGGTGCAGCAGACGTTAAAGCGTGGATGGGGATGCTAGCTCGGGGTGTCTGGTTCTGCCACGAAAGCTTCGTTCTGCATCGTGACATCAAGCCCAACAACCTCCTCATCGCTTCGGACGGTGAAGTCAAACTAGCCGATTTCGGTCTGGCGCGGTCATTTGCGGACCCCTATTTGAACATGACTCATCAAGTGATCACCCGCTGGTACCGCCCGCTAGAGTTGTTGTACGGTGCGAGACAGTACTCGGGCGCAGTAGACATCTGGTCAATGGGAATGGTGTTTGCTGAACTCCTCCTACGCGTCCCATTTGCCGCAGGAAACACGGACATGGACCAGATCTCCAAAATCATCGGCGCCTTCGGAACCCCGACTGAGGAAAACTGGCCGGGTGTGACCAAACTTCCAAACTTTGTACCCATTGAGGAAACCCAAATCACCCCTTTACAGGGTCGTGATTTCTTTATACGACAGTTCCCTACAGCAGGGCCCTTAGGCGCCGACCTCCTCGCATCGATGTTGAAATTGGATCCACGAAAAAGAAGTACTGCGCGCCAAGTCTTGCAGCATCCGTGGTGGGTGGCTGAGCCGCGGCCAACGCGAAATGAGGACCTTCCGCGAAAGGCCGGCGGTGCGAAGAAGATGGGGGACGACTTGGTAAGGCGGGGTGGGGAAGTTGATGACACTCGATTTAAGAATGCAGCAAGGCAATTGGATTTTAGCGCGCCGAGATGAAATAATATTGTTTTACACAAGGGTATTACTATGCTACCCTCGGTCGCGGATGGCTTTGCATGATGCGACCCATAGCCCCGTTTAATTCGGTTTTTGACGACAATACCGAAGAGGTTGATTGGCTTGGATTGCTTCTGACATGGTTTACATTCTGGCCGATGGAACAACATACGCAGCAGACCAACCGCGCAAGCCCGACATCCTGAACGCTGCCGGTGAATGGTGTTAATAGCCCCGTCACCATCCCTGAACGAGAAAAGTTGTCGTCAAACACAACATGGACCCCCGATTTGAGAAGTCTTGTTAGCGTATCTGATGCCGTGACGGAAAATTTCAAGCCACACAGGTTAGCCTCCAAGGATAGGGCCAGCTGGACATATTCCCACTACTGTAACCATCATTATTCCCGGGAAGGTAGAAGGGGCGAAAGCGGTGTCTTCCTAGCTACATACCAACGTGGTCTCAGTATCGGGCATTGCAAATGGGACGGTATTTTGGAACTGCTCGGAAACTGCTCGGTTCACTACAAAAGGAAGAGGAGGGGGGATCTTAATTGAGCTCCAGAGGACAAGGCAAAAAAGCAAAAAGGCATTCCGGGCGGCATTCCTAGCCAGCCTTTGGAACTGACAGAAAGGAAAAGTTTTTGGAACATAACTACTCAGGATATACAAGTGGTTAGCATACATATTCGTTTGCAAGCACACTACAGCAAAGAGGACCTCGCGACTTTGTCCGATTTCCCTGATAATAAAAGTTACGAAATAGGATTATAATTTTCCACCAGCGGGAGTACCTTAGCGAAGAAACTCGCGCTCACACGACACACGGTCATATCAAGTTCCAGGCGCTGTGCGGGTTATTACATAGTACACGCACATCGTGCGAAGTCGGTATGGATTGGCCTGTGAAGGGGGTCAAGGGGGTGGCTTTGCCCCACCAGCCACACGTACTAGTTAGTTATTAGTTAACTAGCTAATAAATAAGTTAGTAGAATTGAGTGAGTTCGTGGGCGCTCTCTCTGTGTTGTTCATGATTCATCCAGACTCCGTCAGATCTCGGGATGGTTTACGGTTTTTTCCCAAGTTCGACAGCAAGATCCAGCCGTTTCGTATCCACTTCCCATTCTGCAGCAGTCCAGTCCCATTATTGTATCATTTGTATCATTCTGCATAGAATCCTCCACCAACCAGACATTCTCTCTGCATTGGCGGGGGCGTCGAGAGACAGTTGTGGCTGAGGTGAACCTTGGAAGTTCAGGGCTTTGAGATTGACTCTGATCTGCGGAGTATCCCCCGTTTTCTGTGCTTCTGTGTAACTAATAAGTTATTATTTAATGTTATATGAATGAGCCTGCGCCTGGATCTTCCATCTCACCCGCTTCTATTCTTTCAGCGCTTTGGATGCAGCGTCTTCGAGCCCCTCGAAGATAGTTAACTAGTCAACTTACCTAAATCCATCAGCAACGGGAATTACATAAGAATCTCTGCGCCACAGGCCCACTACAGCCCTATATACGATTATCTCATATCTATCTCCATTAAGTTTGAGTTAGTTATCTCTCTCGCCTTCAAGCTTGAAATATATAACTAATCATGACAATAATAACAATAATAACAATAATAACAATAATAATCACCTCCAGCTCCCCAGGCTATGCCCCACAGGCCTTCATCCTCCAGCTCGCTCCCCAATCTGAACTCGAAGGTGAAGTCCAACTCCAGCTCAGCCCCTCGACAAGAGCAACCTGCTGGCGGTTTTGATAGTACCCCTGTCCCCGCCGCACCTCCAGGTTTCACCCTCAAGTTCACATTCCACCGCGCCTCCAACCTCCCGATTGCTGACATCAGCACATTGTCCGCGGACCCTTTCGTCCTCGCCTATCTTACCTCTACTCTTCCTCGCCGCAACAAACAGGATCCCGATCTCGTATTTCGCACTCCGACTGTTTCTAGGAGTGTTGAACCTGTTTGGAACTGCGACTGGATTGTTGCCAATGTCCCTGCTTCTGGCTTTGAGCTGAAATGCCGCATCTACGATGAAGACCCTGTCAATAGCGATGACAAGCTCGGAAATGTCAAAATATCCGTCCCGTCCATCAATGAATCGTGGCCTGGAATCACTGAGCAGCCCTACAAGGTGCAGAAGCGCACGGCCAGCAAGCGGGCCTACTTCATGCGGTCTTTAGGCGTGGTCTTCTTGAGGAACAAACACATGAACGCAACTTTGTACATGAGCGTTCAATGCCTTGGTAGGACCCCCGGCGATGAGGGAGGTAGAATGTATACCATCGGCCCTCTCCACTGGAGTAAGCATTTTTCGCCCTTGATCGGGAGGCTTGCTGGCACCATGGATTCTGCCCCGGTCCAAGATGGCAAGAAGCCGGTCACCAGATATAAGTATGTCTTTTCTATACGTGTAAACTAAATATGTGTGTGCATATACATGTTTGTTTCGTAAGCGACTGATACCGTACTGTTATCTGATCCTACAGTTTCCAGGCTATCCAGATTCAGCTGAAAGGCCCAGTACCCGCCTCCCTATATCATCGATATGTCGAATTCAAACCTTTTGTCAAAGGCATGTTCACGGCGCGAAGTCTTCGTGGTCGCATTCTAAACCATGCTCTCCATCAGCAGCATGTAAGGATCTACAATTTCGATAGGTCCACTGTCTATGGTGTATATCCCACTCCATCACACGAATTCACCCAAAAATTTCTCGAATTCGTCCACTACGACATGGACGGGAGAATATTCACCTACGTGATTACTCTGGACGGCCAATGGCGCTTTACTGAAACAGGCACCGAATTCGGCATAAACATGCTCAGCAAACACACCATGCACAGCAACGTTTCGATATACATTGCCTTTGCCGGTGAATTCTTTGTACGACGTCGTTCACAACCTGCTGGGAAACCGCGGAGCAGATCTCCTCCCCCAAGGTCAAAAAGTGATTCTATACGCCAAATAGATGTATCACCAGGCGACAGCGAGGCTTCCGCACCCGCATCAACTGATCCAGCTGTGTATGAGCTTGTAATTGATAATGATAGCGGCACATACCGTCCCAATGCCAAACTGCTTCCCGAGCTGAAAGAATTTTTATCCATGAACCTCCCTGGTTTAGAGGTGACGACCTTTGACTGCCAGGAAGATGCAAAGCTGTTAGACAAACTAAAGGAAGGGCAGCGACACCGTAAAACAAGAAGCGGTCGGCAAATGACCTACCTTCAACGTGTGATCTCACTTTCGTCGATTTCATCTTCTGACGAGGAAGACCTCGACGAGTATTTTTGGCACTCGTCTGGCGCAGCAAGTGCACCAGCCACACCTCTAAAGCGCTTGCGACGAATGGCAAAGCCCAAGGCGCAGTTGATTAACTGGGCGGAAAGAGCAGGCGAAAAAAGAGGAGAAACAGCAAATCATTAATTCATGAAGATATCAGACAAACCAGAATGGAGAATTTGGGCTAGGGGCGATGGAATTAAAGTATTGTTTTCGAGGAATGGCAATCAATTGTTTACTTATTTGTCATTTCTTCGCTCTCAGAGAGCCTTACCACTTTGTCTACGTACACACACTCAATGTTATACATTATTTAATACCTAACTCATACACTATGATAGTTATACGCTAGAAACGGTCGTGTAGTATTCATTGTGAGGTGCGCACGAAAGCTTAATCTGCCCTGCACCCTATCCTATGACGTAGGTATATAACTAGTTCGAGCAAGCGAGTTTTCTCTGCCTGTGGCTTATGTAATTCTCCGCCCAATTGTCCGCTCCGCCAGTTCCAGTTCCGCGAGGGTTCTCCAGATATTTATTTCCGGCATCAATACCAGGAATATTGGTATCTGGGAATATATATCTTTAACCTGCTCCCTTCCCTCCCAGGTGGACTATATTCTAGGTGTATGGGATCCGTTCCTAAGCAATGTCTTGACCATCCACTCCTTTCGCCTTCCCGGCCATTCGCGTCTACACATGCTATACGATGCGTTCTCCCGCCTCCCATTCGCTCCGAATGCTAGCATCGTCTCGTAGCCCTTTTCCGCAGTCTAATATGATCTCCCTCACAAGAGCGATCCACAGCCAGCGATTCCAGCCCTTTGTTCCGCCTTCCCCAAGCTCACTCTCCAAACCCGCCCCTCCCAGAACATATCCCCGCACCAGAAAATGGCTTCGCCGCCTCTTTTACATAACTCTGGGTGGTGGCATTGTTTATGGGATTGATAGACAATTCTATGCTTCCTGCTTGACACGCACAGCTCGCACTTTTGGCTTGGGTGTGCTAGTCGCGATTGACTATAAAGTAAATTTTAGCCCCGAGCCTCTATTTGCTGAGTCGATTGCGGCGGTACATGCGAGAAATGCGGAGCGTCTGTCTATCTTACTCCGCTCAAACGGTGGCTTGTATCTGAAAATTGGCCAGGCTATTGCCATGCAATCTGCCATTCTGCCACCTGAGTTTCAAAAAATGTTTTCGAGCATGTTCGATGATGCTCCGCAAAATGACTGGAAGGATGTCGCTCGTGTCATAAAGGAGGACTTTGGTCGCCCCGTTGAGGAGGTGTTTGGAGTTTCTTTTGATGGGAACCCTGGAAGTGGTGTGATGGAACGGGTAGCAAGAGCCAGCGCCAGTGTTGCCCAGGTTCACTGGGCAAGGTTGCCGGATGGCAGAGAGGTCGCCATTAAGATCCAGAAGAAAGAGATTTCGCAGCAGGTGAAGTGGGATTTATGGGCTTTTAAGTATGTTTTCGCACTTGTCCTTTTCCCTGCTCAACTCATTACCCTCGTGTCGCTTTTAAGAATACTCCTTAACAAGTAGTGATTGAAATTCTACAGGGTCGTAACGTACATATATAGCCGAGTTTTCGATATTCCATTTTACAGTCTCATTCCTTTTGTTAGCGAACGCCTATACCTGGAAACTGATTTTGAGAATGAAGCAAACAATTCCGAAAGAATGGCGAAGCTAATTGCGTCTGAACCTCGACTCCGTGATAGGGTGTATATACCAAAGGTCTACCGCGAACTAAGCTCTCGAAGGGTGATGACAGCCGAATGGATCGAAGGTGTCAAGCTGTGGGATAAGGAAGGGATCACTCGACCATGGCGAGGCGAGTGGCGGCAAGGGAGTCCAGGATGTCATGGGACACCTCTCAATCCTCCCAACCAGGGAACACGAAGAGTACCTAATGCCATTGCATCTAGGACTAGGTATGAGAATCTGAAGCCAAACCGCGACTACTGGAAGGGCAAAAATGGTCGCGGGGGCTTGGGACTGTCCCTGAAAGAAGTGATGGAGACGATGGTGGACCTCTTTTCTGCTCAAATGTTTCTTTGGGGCTGGCTACATTGCGACCCGCATCCCGGTAATGTTCTCGTGCGACGTCGACCCTCCGGCAAAGCTGAACTCGTGCTTATTGATCACGGCCTTTACATTCATATGGAGCCCAAATTTCGCCAAGAATATGCTCGCTTCTGGAAGGCCCTTCTCACGTTCGACAATGCAACCCTACACACTATAGTGCGTGGTTGGGGGGTGGAGAACACAGATATTTTTGCTTCAGCCACGCTGCTACAGCCCTACCGCGGCGGCGATCTTTCTACATCCCGTGGTCTGGAAGGACTGAGCAAGAAAGAAAGAGCTCAGAGGCACTATGAAATGCAACAAGCTATGCGCAAAGCGGCTCGTGACGTCCTTGGTGACGAGACAAAGTGGCCCCGGGAGCTTATTTTTATCGGCCGTAACTTCCGCATTGTCCAAGCCAACAACCAGTTTTTGGGTTCGCCTGTCAACCGCATCAAAATAACTGGCATCTGGGCATCCCGCGCACTAGTGGAGTCTCCTGAACTGGCACTCGCTGACAAGATTCGGAACTACGGCCGACACGTCATCTTCAGGCTTGTTCTGCTGAGCTCCGACATTTGGTTTTATGTGAGCAAAATAAGGCAACTTCTGGGCTGGGGGCGAGGGATGGAAGATGATTTGGAGACTCAAATGCAAAATATGGCCAAGGAGATGGGGGTTGAATTGAATCAAAACATTTTCGAAGGGTAGTTCCATCCTTTACTACTCACACGAATACCTGTACTATATGTAACTTAAAAATTGTTCTTCAATTGCAGGCCCTAGAGCTCTGGTTTTGGAGATGTGCTATGGGTGCTCTTGCCGCCAGATCCGGCAGCCAAAGATGTTCATGGCAATTGCTTATATAGATCCCATTTCAATATGTACTACATACCCCCCCCCCCCCCCCAACCCTTCTCGCTGTATTTGTGTTCTGTGATGATACAGGAATCTAAATTATACAGGCGCGGAGGGATGCGCAGAAGGGGCTAGCGGATGGGTGAACCTTGAGAGGATAAACAGCAATGTGAACTTGATCACTGTCACCAACGCTGCTAAACTTAGTGCCAGAGCTTTGCCGGGCCCAGCCGCTGCCTATCCATCTATACGAAGTACAGAGTAAACAGTGCGAGGGATTGTGTATGAATCAGCATCAATCATTCTTATCGCGGCCCAACGGGCGACTCCACTGCGTCGACACACATTATCAAAACAATCCTGGCCTGCCCTGAATGTGCAGTGGAGAGGAGATACCTCTGTTGAGTTTCGAGTTTCGTGGCTTGATGCGAGAAACAACCGACGCTGCGTTTTAGCAATCCATATCAATGGTTCCTCTCAGGCCATTATGTCTGTCATGCTTGGTGTGATGATTACATTTCTTAATCACGTTAATAATAATAATGCTAAAGACTCAATTAACTTACCCCGCAGTTAGCTCTCTAATCTTCCACATCCATCATAAATGCTATACATTCTGTGATTGTGAATTTCACCATGGGAATACTTCAAGTCTGAAACTGAGAACAAACTATACTGTACCTTGCTCTATTCTTGGTGATTCCTGCTGTTAATTTCGTTCGAACGTCTGCGCTTTGGCCGTGTTCTTCCTCAATGACTCCCGCCAACTTCACTGCAGTTGTATTCGTCACGCGGAAATCGGGCATTTCTCCAGCTGAATTTCAAGACCACTGGGACAACAAGCATGTTCCTTTACTAAAACGCCTTACCGGATCGCGATTTCCCTTGTCTCATACTCGGTATTACCTGAAGCGAGATGCCACCCCTCCTCACTACCCAGTCACGGCCCTGGTGGGCGACTCGGCCGCCTTCACCTACGATGGGTTTGCGATTCTAACCTTCAAGAGTGAGGCAGCCTTTCAAGAATATCTACCGATTGCGAGTCATCCCGAGGTGATGGAGGATGAGAAACAATTTGTACACCTGGCCGAGCTGAAGGCTGTCGCTCTGGCTGATATTCAGACAACTGTATCTGAGCACAGTTCTTGAGAATGAAGCTGGGTATTTTTATATTGTTCAAGTCTTCATTTTATCATGTTCTGCTCTCTGCTGTTAGAATATAAGTTTGGTTTTCAGTGCTTATTTTCATTTTCTATCTATCAAATTGAAGTGTTTTCAGCTTCTTCATAACAGATATATATGAATTAAAATAACAATATAGATAAATATAGTTATCAGATGTATTTCACTCTAAGGAATATTTATATCAAAATAATACATAATCAAAAGCTTCAGAACGTTTGTAAAAGCAAATAACTCTTCTCATGAATATTTAGGCAGTGTTCTGCACGACCAAATTTGAGACATGCTGCGGCCTCGAAGCCCTCTGCTGTCAAACAGCTGTGGCCTGTATGCCAGAAAATCTCCTTGACTCTTATTGTACAGTACATACATGTACATGTACATGTACTTATTGACACATGCGACGTAGCCAAGACTGCCCCTCTCTGTTTTGTCAGCTGCTAAAAATTTCCTCCGCGTGCTCTCATCTTCTGTATCCATAGGAGAAGAAGTAGAACTAGGAGGGAGAGATAGAACGAACCCGCTGTTCCATTCCCAAAAGATAAAGAAGAGAAGAGAAAGGAAAAGGAAAGAAAAGAAAAGAAAAGAGAAAAGAAAAAAGAAAGAAAGAAAGAAAGAAAAGAAAAGAAAAGAAAAAGAGCATGGAAGGCGTCAGCACTGCTGCCTCACTTGTAGCTTTGATTGAGACAACCATCCGCCTTGCGAGAGCTACGCGGGCGGCAGCGCAATCCTACGCCAATGCGGAGACCGGATACAAGGAACTCAAAAACTTTGGAATCCAATTTAGCGGACTGAAACTGGACCTTCTACTACCCTCGCTACAAACCCTCAAAGAAAAATTGCAAGCCAGAGAGTTCAATGTCAACCCAAGGGACCTTGCCGCTTTTGAAGTGGTCCTCAGAACAACCGTCTCCACCTTGGATAAAGCGAGCTCCTACCTACAACGTAACAACCCTCAGGGGGATCGTTTTGCTAGGTTGAAATGGGCGTTGTGGATCGAGGCAGAGGCAACAAGGAACATCGCGCTCGTTGAGAAACGGCTCGATCTCCTCTCACGCCTCTTACAGGATGCTGCGCTGGTCAGCCCGCAAAAGGCTCTGAGCTCCCGCCAGCTTCGTGTGAAAGATGGCGAAAAATTTATCGTCAGTGACGGTATATATCGCACACAGGCTAACTATAAGCCGAGAGGACCCGATGATCCACTAGTACTCGAGGGAATTGACATTCTAGTCCAATCCTGTGAGCCAGGGAAGAATTCTTCTAGGAGCCAGCGGATCGCTGGATACTGTCAGGCTTTACGTGGGAAGGATGATAGCGGATCTCCCTTTCAGACCGGGTTCCTGCCATGCATTGGGTTCAAGAATGGACGTATTGCCTTCCTGCTTCCAAGAAATATCGATTGGGGAAAACATCCGACAAGTTCACTGCTGGCCCTGATGTCAAATAGTCAAGGACAGCAGCTAGAACATGCCATACCCCTTGAGAGACGATTGGACTTGGCGACTCAATTATCCGAAGCGGTGCTAACGACTCATCTCTCTGGCTTCGTGCATTCCGCTATACGGAGTGAGACGATTCTCTTCCTGGGGCCACCAGAGGATTTCAAAGACGTGCCCTTGGAGGGCGTAACTTTGAATGCCACACTCCAAACCCCTAGTCAGGAAGTGACAGTGGGCGAGAATAAGAGAGCCAATGACCCACTGGAACCTAAACCTGGAATTTTCAGGAGGATGTCGAGAATTGGAAGCTTTAATAAGTCAAACCTGCGAACGAAAAATAGTCTTGGATCCTTGAGGCGGTGGAAAGCGGACCGAGAAAACAATATCAAGAACAGCAAGAATAATAAGAACAATGATGATATTATAAATGGCCCGCAAGCACCGGGGCCAGACGAGCATGTGGCGTCCCCGGACAACAACACGATTGAAGATACAAATGGCCTCTGGGATGTCGGGCCCGGACATGGAAGCGTGTACCTTGTTGGCTGGTGGTCGATGCAGGCGCATGCTGGGATGGAACAGCTGCAAGAACAGGACAAGGGCTGGCACAGAGCTATCTACCGCCACCCAGATCAATGGAGCAAAAACACTCTCAGTAACATGGGACATGACATCTATAGTTTGGGCGTTTGCCTTTTTGAGATTGCAATGTGGGAGAGTTTGCTCGTCAGGAAGTCTGAGTTGAATGATGATGAGTATGCCGAGGGAAGCTTCGAGCCCTCTGAGCTATTAGTCCGCGAAGCTGGGTTTAAGGACGGGCAGGATCTAACACGGAAGGGGATGAGAAGTAGGGACGGGCAGATGAAGGTGAAGAATGCCCTGTTGAAGATTGCGGAGGAAAAGCTTCCGGCGCTGGTGGGATCTGGGTATGCCGATGTTGTCAGGGCGTGTCTCACCTGTCTTGATGCTGATGGGAGCGGCAAGTATCGTAAGTGGGATGACGGGGTTAGGTTAGATCAAATGGACCATGACAGTGTCAGGAAGAACTGTGATGCGTTCAAACAGGTAGTTCTTTCGCGTCTTTGGAATCTTGCGACTGCGTTCGCGGCCTGACCTGGTCAGCGGTCTCGAGTAACTATTTTTTAAGCACCCTGTCTGTCCTCTTTAACACAAGTTCAACAACCTATTATATATCCACCTATAGATAGACCTTGAAGGACGTTGTTTACTCTGTGATGATTCTGAATATGAAGTTGATGGGCTTGATTGATTGAAGAATCCTAGCCAAGTGAGAAGTTAAATAGTTATTTAAATAGTTAAATAATCAATTGAGGAATAAATATAAAAGGGCGTTGGATTCAGAAGTTCAATCACAACCTCTGCAGTTTTCAAATCGTCACTCATATTTAAGCTTTCTTAACTACTTCTGTCTAGATCTCTCTTCACACATATTTATCAAGCCACCTGCCAACCCTCTCTACATTGATCATGGCTCCAATAGAGATGTAGCCTGAATCTGTCATCAACTGAACACGTTGTCAAGTTCAGTGATGTCTAACAGCTATTTGAAATGATCAGAGCTATCGTCAGCATGGAGATTGCCTCCACTGCAACGAAGTGCGAGTGCCCCCAGGCAGCATCTGAAGCCCCCTAGATATGCGGCATCTACGGAACCCCTAACTCTCAAGGATGTTGAGGAACTCATTTGGAAGCTCATCGACGAAAAAACAGCAAACGCTTCAGCTCCAGAGAATGAACTCAATAATCAGCTCAGGTTTATGGGGATGGTCAGTCGGATGATCGGCTCAGGTTTCAGACGGTCCTCAACCCGATACCAGGGACAATCAGGTGGCTAAAACTGATGCCAACGACACCAACGCATTCAAATCAGTTGAAGAAGTGTATGATACCACTGCTAAATGAGTGGGATCTTGCTGACAAACCATTTTCGATACATCTGGGATCATAGGATGTACAAGTATGCACTTGTGGAGCCAGCAAAGTCAACTCATGAGATAACTACATTGGACAGATACGTTTTCATTATCCGCAGAAGAGTGGGTCAGTAATGACTCCCATAATGGTGTACTGTATCTGATTATTGTCCGACAGACAAGGATACGAAAGAGACGAAGTTCCACATTGACATCAAGTCGGAGAGTTTGCGCGATATCCTGAGGACTATCTTGGGAGATGTTCAAGGAATCAGCTTGAAAGAACCAGTCCCATTTGTACGTCCTCTCTGTTTCTATACTTCCAGCAGCCTTGACTGACTGTCTTTTAGGTTGAGCAGAATCTCTTACACCACTATCTACCCGAATTAGGGTTATATCGAGGACTAAAACTCTATCGGGACGTCGACCAGAGTAAGATCGCCGAACATGAATCACACTTGGAGTCGCTCATCGACTACATCAAGACAGCCTATGACTCACGAGATAGAGTCTGAACCCCCTCTAAGAAGACGGCCACATCACATATGACCTACTTTGGGCCCTCTTCAAATCAAATACTTTGGTATATACCAAGTGTTTCGGCACAGGAAAGCCAAGATGTGTCAAGTATGATTTTGGAGAAGAATGGAATACAATCAGTGGGGTGAAGTAATTTCACATGGAAGGTTGTTATCTCGATTTTGATGGAAAGGTCCTTGGTGAAACAGTAATTCATCTCTCAATTGAAAAGTTTCATGGCGCCAAGTGGATTGACACACTTGAAGTATTTCCTCTTCATTGCCACTCAAACGAAAGGGATGCAAGGGAGCAACTACTCAACTGTGGTCACAGATTTCTTGGATTGACAGGTATCAATCACGTTGAGTACCTTGGGAAGAAGGCCTTCTACATGGAGAAAGGACGCCCAATCGAGGTGACCATCAATGGTCAAATCCCAAATCATGGTTGATCCAGCCCACTTCAAAGAAACCAACCCAAACTACAAGAAACCCAGCATTAGCGAGCCTTCTAGGTCTGCAACTGATATTTGGCTCTTTTTGGATGTGGAGGGTACCACTGAAATATCTACAGATGTCATCAAAAGCATCGGGAAGGAATCAGCTGACATGGCTGGAGATGATGTGCTCCTGTGCAATCCGACAGTACTTGGTTTCAGCCTTGACAAGAAGTTATGGCATAAGCATCATGATTCAGTATGCTTGAGCTTCTTGTCCAACTGACATATCTACAGTTGAATTTGCTGTTGATGGCATTGAGGATATCAAATGGCAGCCTGCTGCTGTCGCCCATCTCCAACTCTTGACAAGAAAAAGAAGGCCATACAGGCTCTTTCTGAGGCCCACATGCCACGAAAATCTGGCAACCGTGTTGATGATTTTGTTGTTGGGAAAGGCCAGGGCCTAAATGTGCTTCTATAGTGCGGTGACTGATCATATGAATTCATAATTGCATGCTGACTTTTATATAGCGGCCCACCAGGTGTGGGGAAGACTTTGAACGGCTGAGGTCCTATCTGAGCATCTTCAAAAGCCACTCTATTCGGTATGTCTGCTTAAACACCATCTTACACACATACTAACAATAATACTGGTCTCCGCGGGCGAGCTGGGCACTAGTGCAGAAAGCGTTGAGGCACGCCTTCCAGGTATCTTCCAACGCGCTTCAAGATGGAATGCTCTTCTCCTACTTGATGAAGCAGATGTTTACTTAGAGCAGCACTTGCCCTCAGAGATAATTCACAATGCCATAATCTGTGTATTCTTGCAAACACTTGAATATTACCAAGGCATCATGTTCCAGACAACCAATCGGGTCTCACATATTGATGATGCTATCACTAGCAGAATCCAGTTCAAGATCAACTATAATACCCTTAGCCCAGATCAAAGGAGGAGTATCTGGAAATGCGTTCTGAGAAGGGCATTTGCAGGTCAAGGACTGCCGGATTACAACAGCTTGGACCTCGAGAACCTAGTGCAAAGGGAGCTTAACAGTCAGGATGTAAGTCCTCTCCTCACAGTGATAGACAATTACTAATATGCCTCTAAGATCAAAAACTTGGTGTCTATAGCACTTGCCCTAGCCGAACAAGACGGAACTCAGCCGGGAGAATCTCATCTGGACATCGCGATTGACACAAGTGCCAATTTCGAATCCGACTTTCGGGCCGGGGGAAGGATCGAAAATATGAACAATTACATGTGATCTGGGAAGTCCACTATGCTGTGATCTTTGTCTTCTGCCTGCATAAGAAGCAAGGATTGGGAGAGCTGGCCTTCATATACGTTAATTTTATTTGCAGTGTCTACTCGCGGATGTGCAATTGGGATAGTTGGTTTGCCTATATTGACACCAAGTCGAAATTGCTTTGTGGTGGGATAGTTATCATAGTCATACTCTGAGCGATACATACATACAGTATCATCTACAAGTGTCTCTATGGGAAGTGTGAGAGACTCCACAGATAATTTCGCAATAGTCACAACAATGGTCTCGTAAGTTGCATCAACAACAGGCCCGATGAACGAACTCACTGGGCCAACATTGCAGGTTCATGCATGTAAATCAAATATGTTGCTGTGGTTGTCTCTAGATAGTGCAGAGGAATGTATATAAGCGACTTCAATTCATATCTGCCGTCGTTCATAAGTCAGGCTCTGAATCCTCGCCTGAATCAGGACAGATCATTTCATTAAACTTAAGTCTGCTATCTCTTGCATTTGTTGAAACCTGGTTGGCTGTTCAAATGTGAAGAGACTGGTAAAGAATCGTAGCCGACAGGAACAGCACTAGTGAGCGACGTGGACGAAATAAACGTAGTGTAGTAGTTAGTGGATAACCCCTGTTGATCGCTCCGACCCACTGTGAGAACGCCAGTGACAATCCAATGACCATGTACGGAGTACACAGTATGTCTACAATTGAAGAAGAAGAAGAAGAAGAAGAAGAATCTTCATGTTTGTATGACTGGAGGATCGTTGAGCCGTAGAGAGTCTGCGGGGGTCAAGTCAAGAGCTCTAGGAGAGGGCTGCGATGATGAGATCGGGGTATTGTATCAGAGGATTTCTTCTGACGGATCCTAGCCACGCGACATAATAATAATAGGTTTTGCGAGTATTATTTAACTACTGTGTACATTCTGCTATGAAGCCGAAGGGGTATTGACATATAGGTTTTAGCCAACTTCGTACATTGTTCTCCAGATGGACTTCCCTAGCGGTGCCTCTGGACAGACGGCCTCTTATGGATCTTCCACTCTGGAACAGTTGGTGCAACGTCCATCTTTAATAATAATCGAAGGTTTTCCCGCAATAGCAGGGCAGATATATAGCCATTCCAAGAGGGGCCTCTTTGGTAAACTTTGAGGATCGCATGGAAATGTAAGTACCTGAAACCGGAGGCCAAAATGATCGCAGACAAATCTTCTCGCTGGGATTCGTGAATGAACATATTATTAGTAGCAGATAATAACCAACTAACTTACAGACTTTAACTTTTGAGAAAAAACGGTTAAGGAAAATCGAATGTCGTGGCAGCCAACCGAGTTACTAGGCCACACAGGAAAGGAGAATAATATTTAACAACGACCCCTGCATTATTATTCTTATTGAAATAAACACAGCAACGCGCAGAAAAGACGGCATTTCTGATTACTTCGCAAAAAGGGGAACGAGCTCGGTTTTTACCAATTGCTTGCGGGCAGAAGGGAGTAGTTACCGTACCTGTTTTTATTTTTAATTTTTTGTTTTTATTTTGGTTTTATTATCTTTTTTCGAGGGGGCGGCGCGATGGCGTTCTATCCCACCCAACGGTCAACGAGAAACAAGAACCTTGGGATTTTCGGTCGAAGGAACGCGCACCGCCTACAGCCAATGAAGAGCCTGAAACCTTGGGCAAGCGAATCCACTGGTGGCCGAATCACACCGGGTTCTGTGACCAGACAGAGCTTAATATGACTGCCTGTGTACGCTATAACTTAGTAGAGCCTAATCATAATGATAGTGGTCGGAGGCCCTGCAACAAAAACAAACCAGGCCAAGCAGCATGCATGTCGCGTTGACAGTGTTGGGATTCCAAAGGCGGGCAGGGCAGGGACTGACTCGGAAGCATGAGAAGAGGAGGATGGTTTTGCTGTGAGAGGGTCCCTTTTTTTTTTTTTTTTTTTCCTTGTTTCCCCCTTATTCCTCCAACATCCGTATTCTGTTGGAGGTAGGGTAGGGTAGAGAGCAGTCTGTATAACTATGGCAGTGGTCCTTGGGCTTTCGATGCTCCCCGCGAACACGTTATGTGTGATGTGAGCCAGGGGAACCAGTCCGTTCCTTATCCTGAACCTTATTAATAATAATCTGGCATATTTTATCAAAGGGGCGTTGTCTGGTTGACGGGGATTTTGGGCTGGGCGCGTGGTGTAATAATAACTGTATCAGGATGATAGGAGGCAATGGAATTGAGACATGTATATGAGCCATAATAGCGACGATATCTGATAGAAATAACTAATAGTTGTTAATGTCTCAATCATAGTGCAGGATTACAGTTGCGGACAGAGTGAACGTATTGTTTGTAGTGTACGGAGTAGTGTAGTAGTTGTAGTGCGGGTGGTGGTGTAACTACGGAGTAGTGTGGTGTAAATAGTGTAGTTAGTGTGTTGTTGTGTTTACATCGTTCGTTTTTATTAATATTATTGTCTTGTCCTGCCAAACACGAACAACACAATCACCACCAACCGCCTCATTCCATCCATCCATCTATCTATCCATATCCATCCATCCATCCATTCATTCATTCATTCATTCATTCATACCCATCCATCCATCCCAACCTCATCTATCTAGTTAAATATCTCCTTTTTTCGTCTCTTCTCTCCACAACATCGATCCCAACTAGGACTCCGACTCCTCCTCTGTTCAACTCCTAGACTCGCTCTCTTGCCCTGGGGTTGTCTGAGCTTCCTTACTACTTGTCCTCCGTAGATTTCTCCCGATTGCCCAGCTGTGTGTCTCCACTTTCTTTTTTACTCCTTACTTTGTTGTCTGCTTTCTTAAATATTCTCCTGCGACGTCGAGGTCCTGTTCGTCCCGCCTATCGCTTACTTAGCACCTTCGCCAATCCTTATTATTCCTTTCGATATATTCCGTACCCACCGGCTATAATTGGATTATCTGCGAGACATTCGTCTGTCTGTCTGGCCTTAATCTTGAGTGTAACATGATACTTCAGTGACAACATCCCGCTCTCAGTCCCTGACATCTGGGAGGTTGAAGCTGCAGCAAAATGTGACTATCCTGCATCCAACCAACCCCAAGGACAACCTTCTGATGCTGTGTACCTCTCTCGTGGCTTGGAATAACATATTCCTTTGTGTACCAGTGTATCAGTCTTTGACTTACTGGACCTGTCATGGAAGATTCATGAGATGTACATGTACATTCATTGGGTTTTTCTTATCATTTTCAAATCCATGCGTTTTTCCCTTGCTCAACATCGAAGGACAAACCGCTAATCTCTCACACACAAAGACATATGTAGTTCACAGCCCTTCGATTCTCCCGAGTAAATCTGTTCCAATCGCCTCTTTAACACGCCTGGATAGATTCTAGGACCTAAGTTTCCACCACATCTGCATCGCCCTGCACCCGTCCTGCCCCGATCGATTCTTCAGCGGCCGGACCTTGTTTCCCTCGCCAAACATCCTTCATTTTACCTTAGAGAACTCCGGATAAGCACGCGCATTCATTCAAACCGTAACCAAAAACATAACCGTACCCGATAGAGACGCGTCTACCTCCATGGATATACCACCAAGGATCCAAGCAATTTAGCACGCGAAATTACCAAATCGCAGTGGCCATTCCTAGGTCGTTGGATATTGTGGTGATTCACCGATATTTTTATTTGACACCCTCCTACGTTCTTGTGTCACCTTTTCCTTCCAAGTGGCTACACGTTTGCGTTTTCTCGCGGTACTCTGATCGGGCTACACAAAAATCCCTTCAACATGGCCTCGACACTCCCACAACCCTCACGCCCCTCGACAAATCCTCCTACTACAGCGCTTCCTCCGTTGCCTGTTACAAGGTCAAAGAAAAGCATGCTGGCCCATTCAGAAACTTCCAAAGCTCCTTCGTCCACCTTAAAGCCCTCGAAACTTCGCACACCCTCTGCTTCACCACGCCCTTCTGCATTGGCCATGCCTCAACCGTCAAATACTTTATCCGGCGTCGCTGCTCCAGGATCTCCTTCTGTCGGTCTCGCCCCAGGCAGTCCTGATAAAACCCTGCGCCGTGCTGTCAGCATTGCCGCTTTTCCCCAACCCCCTAAAGCGGGAAACCGCCCCTCTGTCAACTCAAGCACTTCTTCGCTCTCCCAACTTTCGACCAAATCACGATCCCCAGACCAATCGAAACCACTCACCTCGTCGAGCAGTTTACGTCTCAAGAAGGCAAGAACTTCCACTAGTTCAGGGAATACTTTCAAAGGACCTAATTCCTCCAGAACACCCAGCCTGCTGAATAGTAGTGGAGATGGGAAGTCTATTCCAAATGCTCCAAATGCTAGAAATTCCGAGGGTCATTTCAGTATCCCCTCCCCACCACAGAGCAGGAGCTCATCAGCCCAGGGATCCTACTCGACCAGTGCCACCACCTATGATGAAGTCGACGATAGCGGGCGAAGAGGCCGAGAGGAGTCCGATGCCATTTCTGGCAATGGAAAACGCTCTTCTGAGGGAAAAGAGGCGAAAGGGAACGTCATAGTAAGCGTCAGAGTTAGACCCGATACGAGCGGCGGAGAAAACTCCAAATCCGATGGAGAATGGATGGTTGACGGCCGAAGATCGCTTGTATCTCACCGTGGAAAGGAATCAGGAGATTACTTTTATGGTAAATTCCCTCGTAATTGTCGAAATCTTACAAGGCTTCTTTTTACACCACACTGACATTTTTTCGATGCTCCACAGATAATGTATTTACAGCTCATGATAACAATGCTAGAGTATACGATTCATGTGCGAAACGACTTGTTCGTCGGGTTATGGAAGGTTATCACGGTACAGTTTTCGCGTACGGAATGACTGGGACTGGAAAGACATTTTCGATGCAGGGCACTGCTACATCTCCGGGAGTTATCCCCTTGGCCATTACAGACATATTTTCTTACATTAGGGAAACACCGCATCGCGAGTTTTTACTTCGTGTAAGCTATCTAGAAATTTACAATGAGAAAATCCACGACTTGCTGTCGCCGCCTCCTTCCGGAACCGGCCCTGGAGCTCCGCAACAGGAAGAAATCAAACTAAGAGAAGACAGCAAACGAGGTGTATACGCCTCGCCTCTCAAGGAAGAAATTGTGCAAAGTCCAACTCAATTATTACGAGTTATTGCAAGAGGTGACCACGCCCGAAGGACTGGAAGTACGCAATTTAACGCCCGTAGCTCCCGGAGTCATGCCGTTGTGCAAATTGTAGTGGAAAGTCGAGAACGAGTTCCTGCAGGGAATTCTTCACAGGAGAAGCGCACGGCAATGGCCCCGGGTGGAGTGCGTGTCTCAACCTTGAGTCTGATTGATCTTGCTGGATCCGAACGCGCGGCAGAGAATAAGGAACGGAGAACAGAAGGCGCTCACATCAACAAGAGTTTGCTTACTCTCGGCACTGTCATTGCCAGGCTATCAGGGGATAAGGATAAGAATGGCCAGCCCACCGATCGAGACGGGAAACATTTACCGTATCGCGACAGCAAATTAACACGATTGCTGCAACCTGCTCTGTCAGGCAATTCTCTTGTCAGCATTCTTTGCACCCTCCAGATCGGATCTGGTGCGAGTGCCGCTTCCGCCCAATCTCACACGGGAGAAACATTGAATACCCTGAAATTCGCGGCTAGAGCGAAGAACAACATTGTCAGTCATGCCAAAAGAGCTGAAGAAGCGCTAGGGAGCACTGGGGGGGATGCCGGTAGTCGAGTTCTCTTAGAGCGTTACCGCATGGAAATCCAATCGCTCAGATCCCAACTTGAAGGCCAAGCGAGGGTTCAAAACGAGAAAGAGGAGATGTGGGAACAAAAGATGCTCGAGAAGGAGGCAGAGAACCGTCATGAAGAACAAATGCTAGAAATGCAGCTCGCTCGGACAGCCCTCAAGGAGCGTATCGAGCATTTGAACCGTCTAATCTTATGCTCCAAGTCCACTGGTGTGAATTCCAATGGGAATATATCTACGTTCACAAGGATTTCGGGACTTTCAGCAAGCGGAATCGAGTCTAGTATTAGGTCTATTCGGTCCTCAGCATCTCAGTCTACTTTGGGCGCAAATGGTTCTGCTCTAAATAGATCTGGTTCGATGCTTTCAATGCGAAGCCAAGGCGCATTGCCTTCAACTCAGGCATCAAACTCTCACTTTATCAATAATGAATACGAGGATGACACGATGGGTGAGTTTGCCGATGGAATGGCAAGCCTTCAGATGCAAGTCAATGCCCTTCAAGCAGACCTCACCGATAAAAACCGATATATCTCAACCCTCGAACGGCGACTGCTACAAGCTCGCCGCTCAAGCCACTCTCGCATGTCAATGGGATTTTCTCATCTCAAAGGCGCTGCGGCATCTATAGATGACCCGGAGGTGATGGCCATACTTCGCGAGAAGGACATGGAAATATCAGAATTGCGTATCCAGCTAGATGACAAAGACAGGATGGTTGCAGCGTTGCGTTCAGCCGCCCGCCAACGTGATTTTGCTCAATTGACGCCAGACTCAATACCCCAGGAAATAAAGCAAAAATCTGGCCACCAGAGTGTTGAAAGCAACAGCAGCTCAACAAAGAGTGGCGGTGCTGCTACGGAGGCGATTAGCCCGGTTGCCCTCCTGTCTCCAGCGAAGATGGGTATGACGGAGAGGGAAAAGGGAAAAGCGAGGGACAAGGAAACTGAAGAAAGGGAGAGGAGGGAGAAGGAGAAGGAGAAGAAACGACGAAGCGTTGATGAGATGTCGCGAATGCTTGATGAGATGATCCAGGATAGGGTGGAAAGCGGCCACTTGGTCAAAGGCACTAGAGGTAGCGTGCGTGTTGCCAATGGCGGCGGCAGGCGGCAGTCATCCTCTGGATCGAATACTGTACCTGGGATGGGCGCGATGGTCACCGCACTTCGCGGTTCGGTCCCAGATATCCAATCCGCGTGATTATTTTTTTCCCTTCTCTCCTCTTCCTTCCCCCTTTTGGAATTGACAATCTCGACGTCAGTGATGAGATTGCCATATTATTCGTCCTTTTTTTTTTTGGCTTCTTCCACCTTGTCTCTTTCCCTCGGGCACCCTTCTCCTGACCGCGTTCTATGGTTTACTCTTTTCTTTCTGTTGGTAGTCCCACCGCCAATTTTGCTCCACACATTTTAACTACCTCCCCCGCCTTTACGCTTCCTTGTATAGTAACTTCTATTTCTTTCCTGATACCCATTATCTTGACACTGTATTTGTTTTGGTACGCTTCTTCCAATTCCCATTTTCGCTTCCCTCTTCCTTCGCGTCAACAATGTCCTCTATAAGGACTGGTTTGGCGGTATATTTTGCTTTTGGTTTGTTCTATCAGCATGTTTTTTCTGACAGGCCAGATTTCACTACGACTTCGCGTATTTCATCATTCTCGTGCCTGCCATGGTTTTTCTTTACTCCCTTTCTTTTCTTACTCCTTTGCTTCTTTTCTTGCTCCTTTTCTCTACTTTACCTGAACCCGATGTATCTCTGTCTATATAGCTGACTACCTTCCTTACCTATCTTAAATAATGCTGAAACGGGAAATGAAAGATAAGATTGCGGCGAGATGTTTGCTTTTACCATCTGACTTTATTTTGGCTATTTTTCCTATATTTGCTCTATGGTCGTTACTTATTTATTGTTATTTTACTTCTTCCTACGTTAATTGTCAGCTGGCTTGTACCCTACAGTCGTGGGATAGAGAGAGGGATAGTAGCTTGTCGACTTCTCTATGCTATCGATATTTTACCTTTCTTCCTGTCTTTGTTGACAATGTACTATATTAGGTCATGGTGCTAGACATTGTTCATACAGTTTAGATGATAGATCCAGCCATGGTTGAATGAAGAATTTTCCCTGCTCTTCTCCGGTATAGTTATGGATTAAAACATACATGTAAAGTACGGAGTGCACATTGTTACTCACTCAATGCCTGTCTTTTTCTGGCATTCCATACAAGTCACCTGACGGGCACCTTATTTGCCTAATCCGGTAATCTGAGGTCAGCTTTTCTGATATCCGCATCATCCCAGCATAAAATAACTCCAATCACCAACCCAACCACAGTTCTTTCTACCCGGTAGTGCTGCGTCTCTCATCGTATTATTATCCATGGGCGCCTGGTTCTGCGCTGGGACGGCCTCCGGCATGCTGTCTTATTTTGTCCACTCTCACTGAATAATACCGCCGTTGTTCAGGTTATAACCTGACACAGAGAATAAAAGACGGATTAAGACGCCCTTCCAACTACTTCCAGGATCCCCGATTGGATAGTTGGAACACGGAGGATACGATGTTCAACTCTGTTCAGACAACGCTCTGCACCACCACTCACCTCACAGTACTAGTACTTGTCTCCAGGTCCACCGGAGCCTAGCTCATCCAAACGGCGCGAAAGATGAAACCCCGGCCCCCACTACGTTAGTTACAGACGGAATTTCACCACTCATCTTTCTTCGAGATCTATTCTAGCTGGCCTATCAGAATCCTTGATACTCCGTGTTGAACTTTTCAAAACCGCCAACGCCAGACATCAGGCTCGCTGCTACGGAGTATTATTATTGTGGGAGCTGGTGCGTGTCTTCAATTTAGGAACCTCAACCTTGGATTCTTTTTGTGGCACATAGCAATAATTTGCCTTATTATTCTGGGATTTCTTCGCCCTCTTCTTCCTTTTGTTCTTCTAGTTAGCCTTCCAGAAACTACCCATCCCAGGTCTGACATGCCATGCTTCCGAGACGAGACAACCTTTAATGACGTCGCATAAGTTAAGAACGACCAGGTCCCTCTCTTCCCGGACCGGCATTTTCCAAGTGTGAAGTGAAAGCTCTCTGAAATCCTGGGGCGACCGCCGCTCTTTTTTAGTATTCAAGGGTTTTTTTTTTTTTTTGGTCTCAACCTATCCATCCATCATTATCATGCACTGCCAGACAGCCTGCTGGAATTAAGACGGAAGATCAAGACATCTCTTTATTGTCGATTCGAATATAGAAATCTTGTCCTATAAACGTGCCGAGTTTCTCCAGATTTCAAAAGTGGAACTGGGGTGTGGAAATGCCTGCCGGTCGGTCCACGATGAGTATCTTCGCGAGTCACGAGATATAAACCAGACAGGAATGGAAGACGGAACTTCTGGATACCCCTGGTTGCTCCTGTGGACATAACTAGCCCATGATCTTTGGCCTTCGTCGATTTCTCGTGATCTTAGCTGAAACCATTGCCTATCCTTTCTACGGTGCCTTCTCACGTTTGATAAAAAGTCCTTGGTTTCACATTTTCAAGGTTCGCATGGACGGTCCTCCTAAAGTATTTAAACCACAGGTCCAATTCTCCATACATATATTTACGGATACACACAACGACTTTTGTCACTGGTCTCTCTTCTACCCTCCTTCCTTCGGGGCCTTGCCTATCTGCATTATCTCTACTTGTACATGTACATGTACATGTACAACGAGAATTCCGGCCGTGGCAAAGCATCCTCTCCCTGTTGAATACGGAATGCTATTTAGATACAATTAATTTTATTGCATTTGTCGGGCGTCTCCTTCGCTTGCTGTCGAATGATCTAGCACCATCACCACAGGAGATCTGATTCTTGTCTGTCGCTTGGTAGTCCGACAGCTTCGCTTCCATTCTTCGTGCCCTTCAATTACGCTTTCTCTACGGCTTCCTCTTTATACCGTTCCTTGATTTTACATATGGCTCAGGTTGACCGCCTTGGGATCTGCGTTTGCAACAGTGAGCGGGTTGCGAAGGATTCCATGCCCATCGTTATTTTGCCTAGAAGGTTACCAAGCGGAGTCAACTGATCGATCATCGGCGTCATCATTTGTCTAGCGGGTATCTCAAGAAGCGTTCACGTGGATTTTTGTACAGTCAATTTTGTGTTTATTTCACTTAAATCGTCGTTGAGCGACGATATACCTACCAAAATGTTTGTCCCTAAACACAGCTCCCACAACATGACACTGCGACGGACGCCAACGAGGAGCACCTTCGGTCCAACTCCTTTGTCAAAACAAAGTCTCCGCGTTCCACTGGCTGATTCTCCTCTCCCGTCGCCGAGTTTACCCTCGATACTTCCCCGCCACGGCAAGAAACCCTCGCGAACCTGGCCCATGAAAGCCTGGCGAGTCTTCGCTTGGATAATTGGAGTAGTTCTGATTATTTGGTTTGGTGTTTCATGGCAGCGATCGGGGCGTCCTCCCCCTCCTGTCAATTACGTTTCTACCGAGGGTGACCCCTTCGAAATAGTCGGCAGTGATGACCTTCCCAAGGGCCCCAGCCCAGTGATGGTGACTGATCAACAAGGAAGATCGCGATGGACAATTTCAATTCCACACAATCTCGAGTTCCCCTTACCTCCATCTGACTACTCTCGCATCTGTTCACAGGCAATGGAGTTGTCGCGTAACATGGAAAACATTAAAAATAATAAACCCGCCTCAGCCCTTCATACTGCACATCATGCATACTACTGGAAGGATAAAAATTTCATAGACGTTCCTGATGCGGAAGACAAAGGACTACTTCCAAGTTCGCGTGGCCGCGAAATCTCTCGAGGAGGACTTGGTGTAGTCGGTGGTGAGATATATATCGATCGCCAGGAGCTGCCCATTTGCGAGAAGTCTTTGACTTATGTCATGCAGACAGACGATGCGGGGATGGGTGCGACATTAATGGGTTTATGGATGAGCTACGGCTTGGCTCAATACGAAGGAAGGGAAGTTTTTGTTGATGACACGAATTGGGCATATGGCCGATACACAACATACTTTAGGCGCCCACCAATGCCTTCCTGCCGTCCCCCTCCGCAGTCGCAGCGATTGCCTTGTCCCCATCAAGCTAGACATCTCCTCATATCTTCGGCTACTACAAAATGGGCGTTCGGACATGGTTTCAATGAAAAATTCGAAGACGGGCACAGGAGGGGAGTGCATCGCCAGAAACAGATATTTGGTTTCCTCCGCAGCGGCTATGAAGCCTTGTTCCAACTGACGGGCAGTGATGCTAGGTACTTTGAACAACGCGTAAATGAACTGAATACCTCGATACGAAATAAAGGAGGCATTGAGGTGGGCGTCCACGTCCGCCACGGCGACTCTCACCCCATGGAATTCCAATACCAAAAGTCCTACCTACCTCTAGCAACATACAGCGATGCGGCGTATAACATCATGATATCTTCCCGCGGGGGCAATATCAAACCTGCTGTGTCTCTTAACCGGGAAAAGTCCAAAATCTTACTTGCCTCCGATGACCCGGATGTCTACTCGGCTACGGAGCTGTCCGACGCGGAAAAAGCACAGTCGATGATTACACTGGTAAGCAAGGCGGCACTTGACGCCGCTACGGCAGCGAAGGGAGGGACCCCAAACATGATGGACGGCAACATAGGCTGGGAAGGCGGGTTCTTTAGTGACATGTTCTGGTCTTTGGGAGCACCGCCACCTCCGCGGGCGGCGGGGAGCCCGCGCGCCTCAAAGAACGAACCGCATCTGCGGCCGCGAAGCGTGGGACCGACTGACATAGACTTGTTCCGTTTCCATCCTCCTAAAGAAGCTCTGCGTCTGCGCCAGCTGGTTGGGCGAGCGTACCTGCTCGATCTAGCTGTGCTAGGGCAGGCGGACGCGGTGGTTTGTGGGGTTAGTAGCATTGGGTGTCGGCTGCTGGCTGTTATGCTTGGGTGGGATAAGGCTATTGAGCAGGGGAAGTGGAAAAATGTGGATGGGACGTGGCATTGGAAGGGGATTATATGGTAGGAGTTAAGCTGGTTAATGATATCCCTTTACTTCACACTTCACTTCTTTACTTTTCCTGTATTTATTTTTCATATTGGTCACTGCTGGACGCCAATCGGCTCCCCCTTGTCCTCTTGTTTCTTCACAGCGATCATCGTCCATTTCTACATCTCACAGAATTTCATACGTCTCAACCTCTTTTCTCTTCTGTTTTGTCCACTGTATTTGGGAGAAATATTTCGTTATATGAGCGTTCTAGCAATAGCGCACGGCAAACGGGAGGAGGATGTGGGACATAAGATATTGTTTAGTTCTTCAGAGTACCATAGATATGTCGTTATTGTTCTCCGAGTTCAGTGTCCCTTATCAGCGGAGCGAGGTGTCAATCCCGGATATACAGACATCCCACTACTCTGACCATCAATGCAGACCAGCTACTGGAAAGGTTTCAATTCCTAAGCGATAAATGCAGTCGCTATTCAAACGCTTGAAAGTAAAGATAATTTTAATAATCTTAATTAACTACGTAACCGCAAGCAAGCGTCCGACTAAGAAGCCTCAAAGAAACATAAACCAATCCAGCAAAAACTCCCAGCTGCAAACCCAAACTCAGTATTCAAGCAGAACCTAAAACCCCCTCTGGTAGAAAAAAAAATACACTCCTGACAAACGGACCCACACATAGCCTCCAACATATCACCTTACAAGCAATGAATTCCCTACCCTTCTTATGCGACGATTTCCAACTCCGATGTCCTCTCCGTAGCAAATAAACCACGATACTCCTCCCACAATCGTTGCAGCTCGCGCACATACTTATCGTGCAACTCGTCAACATAAGCATCCTCAATCTTGGCCCGATCATGCTGCTGTACAACCTGAATGGGTCGACCAACGACAATATTCACCGGACGGCGATAAGGCATTAAGCCAACGTCATAATTGAAGACGCCGCGGGCATGAAATAGCGGGATAGTGAAACCCATCGTGCGCTTGACGAGGAGTTGAAACCTGCGGATGAGCGGGTGCTGGTCGGAGGGAACCTGTTCGTATAATTCGTTTTCACCAAAGGCGAGGACCGGGACGAGGTCTGCACCTGTGCGGATAGCAAGTTTGACGAAGCCTTTTCGGCGTTTGAGAACTAGGCGGATGGAATGGGGTTGTGCGTCGAGCGACTCGCTAGCGCCTCCGACGACGATAGTGATGGCGCGGCCCATGCCGGCGTTGTCGAGGCCGCCTTTTGATAGGATATTTTCGCACGATTCGCGGGACACACTGGCCAGTCCCATGGCAAGGGCGTAGTCGCGGTAGAAGGGGAGACGGAAGTTGGAGTCTAGGGTGAGGAGGGTGTTGGTAATTCCCGGAAAGAGGTCGGAGAAGCCTAGGGCTTCAGTGCCAAATGCAGCAAAAGCTCCGTGGGAGATGATGCCATGAGGGTGGTAGCCGAAAACATATTTTCGGGTAGCAGGGAGGGGAACGGAGCGGTGCAGACGGGCGGGGAAGTAGGAGGCGAAATATTTCCAGATGCGGAGTGAACGCAGGAATTGGCTACGGCGGACCAGCGTGCCAGATGTTGCAGTGTCGGAGAATAGAGAAATATAGACTAAGTAGGGCAGGAGGAGAGGCCAGAAGAGAGGGATGGCACAGGAGAAGAAGAAGACTGTTAGAAAGACAGGTACGGAGATGGTGTGGTAGAGGACTACGAGGGTCTGGAGACGCCTGTCAAGGCCAACGTTGAGCGGAGCCCAGCGCAAGCTATATACAACATATATGCATATATATTAGAATAGGTCCCAGCAATGGAAGTAGTAGAAGGGATAAACTAAGGGACTTCGTACCCGGTGCGCTCTGAAGTTCCCCGGCGGCTTCTACCTGGATTGTTGTTTGCGCCGTTTCCTTGCGAGCCATTTGCCCTTCTTGACCTTGCGCTCCCACGGTGCGTATGAGTTCCCCTCGGCAGAGGAGAAGATGTAAGCCCATTCCGCTGAGAGAAGCCCTCTGTTTTCAATAGTGACGCACCGGGAGGCTGGCCATCGATTTGGAGCGGGGATCCTTCATTCTCGAACGCAGAGCGTTCGGGAACTTCACATTTACCGGATACAACGGCTTGCACATAAGACATGGGAGGTAATCCAAGTGAAGCTCGATCTTCGGCCCGTGAGGGCTCCGGATTTAAAGGAGTGGAGGGAGACGGGGAGCGGGAACGCATGGTTTCAAGTTTCTGCTTGGAGATAAGCTCCTCTTGGAAACAGCCGGCTACGGTATCTCAACTCCCATCTCAGCAAACGCGCACAGGAGACAGAGACAGAGGGGCAGGGAGCGAGAGAGAGAGAGAGAGAGAGTAAACAAACAGGAATTGGGTATAAGAATGAGCCTGAATATAAATAGTAAAGTCCGGAATGAAGATGAATAAAACAAGACAAATGACGTTGGGGCGGAGTCTTGGCAAAACGGCGAGAAATGACGTCAATGTACTCCGTAGTGTAGCGCAGCGGTGTCAAGCCACAGGACAAAATAAAATACATATGCTGTAGAAAGTATCACACAGTGCAGGGGAGGAGATCTAAGTTGTATTACAAGTAGACAAAAAGGGAGAACATTTGTTGAATTTGATTATTGTTCTCTATCACTCTAATTATCATTAGCTGTACTCCGTAGTGGTATTTTAGACATGTTGAATGGAGATTGGCCAAGTCACACATTAACTGCTTTGATCTCCTCCCACCAAACAACTCAACAATAACCAAGCCAAATCAACCAGTATCCTACCCAAAGATTTCAATCCACATCTTCCTATACTCCCGCATAATAATAACTTCAAACTCAAAAGTCTCTGCCTGCAGTGTCCGTCCCCCCTCAAACATCACCGGTCCCCCAAACTCTGCTTCCAACAACCTCCCCAATTGATCTTCAAACCTCCTCAACATTAGCTCATAGTATGGATGCAACGGCTGCCCTTTCCTCCACCCTTCCTTTGGCGGCGCCGTTGGCTGCGCCATTGTCTGCTGCAGCGCAACATTCGCTACAGGCCTATACGCCGTATTGTTCGCGGTCGATCTGACAGCGATGGTTGTCGCCAACACACGAGCCCGTGAACCTTGTGGCCGTTTGCTCCAGTCCGCGCGGATGTTGTCTAGGACACTGCGAGAGTGTTTGAGCCATTCATCATGGAAGGCATCTCTGCTCATTATCGTCGGGAATCCCGGGAGTTGCTGCTGCTGGAGCTGGGCGTGGAAGTTGTCAAAGAACGCGCTGAGGATTTGCGTATAGTACGGGTGGAGCTGGTCGCCAGGCGCCCAGACAGAGGGTGGCGGGGAGTCTGGGAAGCGTACGGATTCCTGGTATGCACGGACGGCAAGGACATAGAATGAGTCTATGGAAATGATAGTGGCCGTTGGTGCTGTTGGTGATGGCGCGCTGATATTGCTATTGAGGTAAGCCTGGGTGTGAGGGATGTCTGCGAAATGCTATTTGTCTCAAATGCAGAGGTTAGTATTGCAGACAATGGTACTGACAAATCAACAGCGTATATATGCTTTGTCTACATACTTACGCGTTGATGTGACGATGTAAACTAACCGATGCTGAATTGGGAGTTATCAAGCCCTGGCTGGCATCTCTCAGCCCAAGCTCCCTCCTGTCATTTTCAATTTGGTCCCCAACTGATGGCACGCGAAACCTTTCTGATATAGGTCCGCCCTCGAAACTGATTAACCAGGGGCTAAGGCCGGCTTTGGAAGGGAACCCGTTACCCATCTTTTTTCGTGGGGTGGACGAGGACGAAGGTAAATAGGTTGGCTTGAGGACCTAAAAGGGAAAAAGATGTATTCGGAAAATGAGATAGGGAAGAGTCCGATTTTGATGTATATTCTTGACATTCATTGCAGTGTTATAGAGGAGGGGTTGTCAAGGCAACTTCTCCTATTCACTTTTTTTTTCGTTTTTGTTTCTGTTTCTGCTTGCCGTCACCGTATGGGAAGAATGCGTATGCCGCAATTCATTATATTTATTTCAGAGATGGAAAACATCGAGCAGAAATACGATATATAACTTCAGGTGCATCACAGTAAAGTATATGTGACTGGGTATAGAGCATAGCGCTATCAAGAAGAACGGAGCGAAAGTATGTGCGATAGTGTAAATAGACGGGGTCGTGATCTAAAATAGCACACACTACTGCTGTAAGGAACAGAGGAGTCGCTTTCTGAAATGCCACAAAAAAAAGAAAGGAGCATGTAAACAACGCTGAGCCAGCAGCAGCATAAGCTAAACCCAGACACGATGCTCACGGATATCTATATTGTTCTGTACATGCTCCCGATCTATCATTTCACCATAAATATCTGCAAGGTCAAATTAGCAATGAACAAGATACTCAGCAGAGAGACTAATGTAAGACTTTACCTCATTTAAAGACTTTGCATCCATCAATGCCAGCTTCTTTTGCTGTATATACCGACCCCGGATAAACTGGCGACCCATCGGCCGATGTTCCCTGACCTTCACAATATTCCCATGTTTCGCTGCAGTACTCGATTTCTCCTCCTCCTGCGGGGCAGAGGTTTGGACATCGGGTGATATAGCATCGTCGCCCGCTTCTGTATCACTGGGCTCAATCTCTTTTTGTTTTCGCTTTTTTGTTTTTTCCCGCTTCTTATCGACGAGCGCATCTTCGGAGGTAGTTGCTGTATCAATACACACGGAGACATCACGGGACTTTCTTTTCTTCTCTTTCTTCTCTCTCTTTTCCTTCTTTTCCTTCTTTTCCTTCTTCTCCTTGTTCTTCTTCTTGGAGGATTCCTCGGCTAGATCTGAACCAGTATCATCACTCTTAACCTTTCGCTTATCCTTCTTGCGTTCTTTTTTCGCTGCTGTTTTTTCCGATTTCCCTTCGTCCTGCGAGCTTTGAGATGTTTGTCCTTTCTCTTCACCAACGCTCTTCACTTCCGCAAGCGCCTGAATCTTCTCATGCACCAGTAATCCCCCGCTCACAAACCTCATCGTCGTCCACCTTTGCTCGATAAAACTAGCCAGTCGCCGATCATCTCGCTTTTTCTGTTCCTTTTCCAGCTCCGCATCACTCTTTCCATTAAGCCGTCCCAGTAATCCCTGAAAGGCGTCCAGGCCCGTCGGTTCGTCCTCTGCACGAAGTCTAGCACCGAGCCCCAAATTGTCATCCTTTATATTAACACGAATATGGCCAGCGCTGCCGGCGGTGAAATGGTCCGCATGGGCGGCGTTGGAAGCACCCAGGAAACTTCCAGGAGTCCAACCCTGGGCACACATGATCTTGTGGCCATAGCCGGAGGTCGAGCGGGACCAGGCTGTATTGTTAGGGTCGTGGAAGATTTTGGTCCTCCTTGTGTATGAGAATTAAAAAAAGTTAGTGTGGGACGTCGGAGTTGGAAAACATGATTTGGGCTACTGTTACTGACTTTCGAGGGCCGGCTAACCCCATTGCAGCTGAGAGGAGTGTCGGAGGGAGTGTCAGAAGGTAGAGAGCGTATGGCTGGAGATATTTTGTCTTCTCTTGGTCGCTGTCGGGATATTCTTCTTCGAGCTAACTCGGCCAGTAACAAAAAAAAAAGAAAAAGAAAAAAGGAGTTTGGGGTGAGGTTGGCTAAATAAATATTTAACTAATCTCCACGTGACCAAAGCAATAATTCCAGATCTGTGTCATGGACAAAACACCGTTCCAGTTCGCATTATTGGCGTGTCGGTCTTGCGCACCTTGTCTTCAGCAGTATAACAAAGCAGTACTAGGTTTTGAGCTGTGATCCGGGGGACGAATGTCTGGCAAGAAACCCACCCCTCGCCGGCGCGGACGCCCATCAAGAGCAAGCACCGCAGGAAGTGCCTCCGACCATGAGCTGGCTGGCATGTCGTCGAACCCCGCAGATATATTCAAGGACATGAGCAGTGCTGTGAGATGCACATCTGCGTGCCTTGCTTGTTCCCTGTTACTACTGCTTTGAAACACCCATGCTCATATAAGCCCACCTAACCTATCAATGCTTACAGGTTGAAAAGCGCAACAAGGACAAATGGCAGAGACTCCGCGCGCAGCACAAATCTCAGGTTAAGAAGACAGAGGAAGTGATTCAATCAATGGCTCATTCGAATAAATTGGCCCTGTGGGTTCTCAAGATACTACTTCTCGTTTTCGCTTGCGTCGCGTCAATGAAATCCGTGACGGCCCCCTTTACCTTGACACTTTCAGCTAACAATACTGTCTCGTCCCACGTAGCATAAGGCACCGGAGAGCTCAGATTAAACGCCTGTTAGACCTTGTCAAGAAGAGGACAGAAATCGAGATGGAGATTGTGGCCAACATGCAGAGGCTGGGTGATCTGTACGAAGCTGCTAGCAGCGAACTGAATTCTGTGCTGACGAGCCGGCTGTCCTACCTCCAGTGAGTGAAACACTGGCGACATATGGATGGATGAGATATGTATCCTTAAGATTTAGCGATATAGCCCTCCGTGGGTGGGATCTACGAGGGTATGATACTTACGTTGTTACTGTTTCGACCCTTCAAAGACCAGGCGTTCTTTCGGGTGGAAGAGAGCTTTATACGGGTTATTATGGTATCTCTATGGAATGGCATCTTTTGGGCTCATTTTCCTCTATCTTAATGCTGTTCTCCACAGCTGTATGTTTAATGAATGCGGAGGGACTGATGAGTGATGTGTGTCTAAGACCCTAAGGAAGGAATAGATATGGTCCTCGCCCAGCATGCGCGTATCTTTATCGATGTATATTATAGACATACGCTTTGTGTGGATTATTTATGCACATATCTAATGCATTATCATGATATATTTATACATTTATCCTGATTTTCTACATTTTTTCTGCTCTATTGGACATATTCTATTTTTAGGTTGCGATCTCTTCCAATCTGGAGAAATAGTAACAAAACAGCATTTAAACTAAAATATTGATCTCAAAATAAATATATAAATCATATATCAATGAATCAAACCAAAATCAAAGTCAAAGATCTCAGCACTCTATAACGCTGATACTATCATAAAGTCATTTGCTACCGCTGTTGCCGTCCGGCATAGGACTACCTTATGTATCTTTGGCAGCTCAATCCATCCCGCCACTTGACAGCGACAACGACGACGACAACACCAACTATCAACTACAGTCAACTTCGGCCGCGCGCACGCCCACCTATATACATATATACAGCTATAGGACCTGCGCTCTAAACTGCACGCCCGGCTGAGAAAATGACTGTAGCTCAGTCCTTTTTCTACAAATAGCTGGCAGGTCAGCCATGCGCGCCGGTCTTCCGGGTTTGGCAACCAGCTATTTAGCTGATGTTAAATAATCAACTAAATAAATACACCTCCTTACACACAGCATAGCCAGACAAGACAAGACACAGCCAGGAGCCATGTCTCTGCGAGTTCTCTGTCGAGACCGCCCTGATCGCTCGCTGGCATTGATCTCAGACGGCCATGCGCTGATCCTCCACCACGTCCCCGTCACTGAGTCGGCTTCAACCAATTCATACTCCAACGTTAGCCCGCCGAAATGCCATATTGAATTTGCCGGTCTTGATGCGTTGGATCTGTTGGGGTACAGAAACCTAGGTCGCGCACACGGGACGCTTGGATTAATCGCACTGAACAGCGATATCTTTCTATGTACAATATCCCATGCGTCGCAAGCAGCCACAGTGCGCCCTGGAGAGACAGTCCAGAGGATTATTAACGTGGAATTTTGTATAGTCTATTCCCCATCCCGTTTCTGCCTTCTTTCTACTTCTCCCATCTCCTGATGATCTTACAATCTTTTAACAGACTGCTTGAACCGTTCGGATTACGACAACGATCTGGACTATGAATCCAGATCAACTTTTGCATATCCCGCTGGTGACGACGACTACGGAAATGGCTATGAAGGCCGCGAGACTATCACTGAAAATCCGTTCCTCCCTCTCAAGAAGCTCCTTGGTGATGGCAGTTTCTACTACAGTGTTGACTTCAATCTCACTGACCGTCTTCAAGATAGGTAACGTTGTTCGGGCTCATACTGGAAAGCAAAAAGTGAAATAGTTGGAACTAACTGATTAATAGAGTTGAAGAAACTGCCTCGTTTGATGTGGATAGCCTCGATAGGAACTTCTTATGGAACTCCTATATGATCGAGCCCTTTTTGCTATTTCGAAGCCATTTGTTGGAATCTGAGCGGGAAACTCTGGACTCATGCAGGATATTCACCTTAGCCATCCGCGGCTTTGTTCACTCATTAACCATCCCTGCGTCTACGCCGTTGTTGCGCTCTTCTCATTCAAATCTGCCATCAAGTTTGACTTTGATATCCCGCCTCTCTTCTCGAAGAGCGGGAACCAGGTTTAATTCTCGCGGTATCGACGACGAGGGGAATGTTTCTAATTTCGTAGAAACGGAGACCGTCGTATGGATTCCGCCAGGCATATGTTTCTCGTATACCCAAGTTCGTGGATCTCTTCCCATCTTCTGGGAACAAAGCGTTGCCATAGGAGGACAGAAAATTCAAGTTACAAGGTCAACAGGCGCCTCCCAACCCGCGTTCGACAGACATTTCGACAGTCTGTCCCTAACTTACGGTGCTGTACATGTAGTAAATCTACTCACGGAATTAAAACCAGGAGAGGCAGATTTATCGGAACGATACCGATATCACATTTCTCAGAGCCCATTGAGGCAGGGTCGTGATCCTAATACCTCCTCCGCACATCATCTTCTGCGGGCGACGGA